TTCCCCCGGTGGGGTGCCTTGCCAGGAACGGTGGAAAAAAAAGCAGCCAGTCCTGATGAGACTTGATAGGCTGAGGTCAGTTGGTAGGGGAGGAAGGGTATAAGGTGAAAAAGGGAAGGAGGGTGGGACCAGGATAAGATTAGGGAGTGGGCTACAATTGGAATGTAAAGTGAATAAATTAAAAAAAGACATACGCTGCACAAATGAAGTATACAAAACAACTTTCTTGACTGGACTAATGGGTTGATCCCCAGAACCAAGAGACCACCAGGGTACTGGAACAATTGACTCCTACACTGACAATTTATTATTGAAATACAGGTGGGTGGGGCAAGATAGGATAGAAATTAGAAGCATGAGCTTTGCAATCAAGACTGTGGGATCCAAGTCTTAGTTTTCCCACAGCACTGTGTGTATGGGTCCTTGTGCCTTGGTTTTCTGATCTGGAAACTGGGCCTGACATATTGCCATTCTTCCAGGCTTGATGAAAGGTGTTCAGTGGTTAGAGAGAGGGTGACTAAATATTTAACAAATGGTGGTTGTTATTCCCAAACATTTTTCTCTTCCAAAAGGATGCAGTTTTCACCTGTTTAGTGTTCCCCTCATATTTATTAAATTAAAAAAAAAGTGTCAGGCCATATGTGGGGCTCAGAGGATAACTTCTGGAAGCCATTTCTTTTCTTCTACCATCTGGATCCCTGGGATTAAATTCAGGTGGTCAGGTTGGTGGCAGGCTCCTTTACTCACTGAGCCATCTCACTGGCCTGACATAATCTTGCAGATTTTATGGACTGTTTTTGAAGGCTGAGGTATGTTGGGAAGGGTTAAGGAATACTATCCTACAGAGAAATATATTAGGAGAAACAACACTGGTGCTGGAAAGCTGGAGGTATATAGAGGGTAACATAAGGTCACCGAATCTCTGGAAAGTGGGTTACTAAAATAATCCCCAGGTACATACTCCTTGTCCTTTCAACCGTCCTTTAGGCCAGGCCCACATGGGTGAGACTTTCCTAAATCAGCACTGACTGCTCACAGCCTTTTGGAACTCCTTGGTATCCCAAGGATGAAGCCCTAATCCCTGGACCCAGCCCTGACAGGTCCCAACTTTTACACTATCCCTGCTGCAGACTTCAACCCATGGCCTGTCCCTGGACTGTGTCACCAGAGAAGCCCTGCTTTAAGCAACTGAGTAGGGCAAGTGCAAGAGCTCAGAAATGATGAGTTCAAGTCACAGCCCCCAAACTAGCTAATCCCCCACCGCAGAGCTCTCCACTTAGAAACCAATGTTTCTGTTCAGTGGGTCATCAGGCTCAAATTCAGGACCATGTTCTCTCTCTACAGCCATGCAACACCTGTCCAATGGCTTTTCCTGGCATTTGTAGACTACCTGGGACAGTAACTACAGATAGTAAACACCATGTGTTAAACACCTGAATAAGGATATAAATAACACTTTCTAAGGACTGGTTTTTTTTAATAATCTCTTCTAAGAAACCTTCTAGAACCACCCCTAAGATTTCAAATATAAGATGGCTCAGTGGGTAAAGGTGCTTGTCAAGCCAAGCCTAAGGGCCCGAATTGGATCCCTCGTACCCATTTGGAAGAAGAGAACTGACTCCCTCAAGTTGTACTCAGACCTCCAAGCCTAGATTGTGGCATGGTCCCCATTTCCTACAAAGTAAATACATGTTAAAAAAAAAAGATTTGAAGTAGAGTGGATGGACCACTTTCCTTTTCTCCACCTTTCATCTCTACCCTCAACTTGATTCTCACTACAATATGTGGCTATCTACAATTTCTCTCTTCTTTCCATTCCTCCAGTCTTTGTCTCCTTGGTTAGATTCTGAGTGGTTCAGATAATCAACTCTGGTCTCTAAACATGCAGTATTCACATAAAAGGTACTCAGTAAATGGCTGTTAAATGTTGAATTGGCTCCTCCTAGCAAAGGTAAATTCTGGATTAAATCTGCCCCTTTTGCAAGTGCTCACTCTAGACAGTTGTGAGAAGACATGTTTGACGCTACTCTGAATTCCAGTTCTAGAATAAGGAACAATCGAGAGCATAGCTCCACAGCAAATGTTGAAATACCTCAGGTAGGAACAGCTGTGGAGTGCTTACTCCATGTGGGATGCCCTTCCAAACAATTAACAGGTATTAATTCATTTATTCAAAACCTATTACATAGACATTTCTGTGTTCCTTGTTTTCCAAATGATTAAACTGAGGCCCAGGAAGGTGAAGTTATTTCTTCCATGACTATAATCAGAGGTAGACACCAGGCCCAAGTTTATAGCCCCACTTTGGTAACAACTATCACTTAACTGGCTGCCCTGGATGTCAGGCATGGGGTAAATCCCTTCTTACGCATGCACATATAGTCACACAATGGTCCTAAGAAGCAGGTATACATGTGACAGCCCCATTTCAGGGATGTGAAAAATGAGGTTTGGAGGTGTGAAACTCACTGCCCAATGGTATCCCACTCCAGTAAACAGTAGAGCTGTAGCCTGGAAGTCCAAATACAGAGCCTGTATTCTGAAGCACTCTGCTCTTATCCATGGCTTCAAACTAATGTTCTCTCTCTCACATACACAGGTATCAGACAGGCAGGATAAAACAAGCATAACTCTGAGTATGATTCAATAAAGAGAAGTAGAATAGGGGACAAACAGGAACTGAAAGGCTTGTTTCAGCAGCTGACCATTTACTATACAGAAGCATGGTTTTGTTTTGTCCTATAATCAAGGAAGACTGAAGACTTATCAGTGAGAGCTCCCCTAGCCCTAAGTGACTCTTTTTGACTATCAACCACCCCTTCGGTGGCACTACCCATTTGCCAGGAACTACCTGCAAGCTTATTCTTTTAACATCAATCTTCCTGGCTAGTCAGAAAGTTATAGATAGGCATATTTTAGTCTAAATATGCTAGACTAATAGCTCTATTTGTTTTTTACACTGAAGAGATAGCTTTTTATGGCTTTCCTCACAGTTCAGCCTTCAAGGCTGCTTTTCATAGGTGTGCAAAACCTGGCTCTCTTAACTACCCTGGCTAGCTCTAGTATTTGTGGAACCAATTCTTCTATTTCTTTTTACCTTGTTTCATTGTGTCCCTCACTCTCTCTGATGTTCACTAGTAGACCCTGTATATCAAGCCTGGGTTGTTTTGTAGTTAGTATATTTATTTCCTGGTTTGGTTTCTCTCTGTCTCAGTAAGCGTCCTTCCTTGAATCTGTCCCAACTAGCCTCTCTGTACTTGACAGAGTCAGTGGGCTTCTCTCCCTGGTATTGAATCTATGGATAGGAAGCTCTCTGTCTAGATCACTCCTTGTTCCCCTCCCCCTGCAGGGTCACAGCTCAGGCTCACGCACCACACTGTGGACTGGTTGGGCATGCGCACATCCTTGCACACCAGCAGCACATAGCTGTACTTGAGCACGTGGATAAGCCTGTAGAGTGGGGGCGTGTTGGCCCAGGGGCTGCGTGCCACATGTGTGGAGCTCTTCACCGAGAAGACCACCAGCCGCTGCTGGCACCACTTGTCAAAGAAGTGGCTGAACTCAGCCCAAGAGAAGAAGGTTCGATCCAACAATTCCTGTTCTTCCTTCTGCACTGCTGTACCTGGTGGGGGTTCTGTCAGCTCCATCCTGGGGCCCTGAATGAAAGTGGGGGAGAAGAGTTGGACATTATACCAATCTCTACCCATTTTCCCTATTTATAGACTGTCTTATCAGCTACTGATGCCTCAGATAGATCTCTGGGCTAAAAAGTGGTTTGTTTATTTTCTAGACAGGACTCTCATCCCATTTTTGTGGTCCACCTGTTGCTTTCCTAGGTTCAGTTGACCCTTAATCAATTTTAATTCTAGTCCTAGCTGACTTAGATGTGACCTCTATGTACAAGTAGAATCACTTTGTCCAAATATTTTGTCTTTAGCTTAGCTGTGGACATATCCGTAGACGTATTCCTAGCTTCTAGCTAAGATTTCTCCTTCCAATGTGTCTTCTACCCCTGGTGATAACTTCTAGTGGCCACATTTATCTAGAATTCCCTTTTCCCACGAGTCTAACCTGTATCTACCCTCTCATCCCAGGCATATTCTTCATACACCTTCGCTTCCCTCTCCCTAGATATGTCAGATGTGCAACTGTTGCCCCTGTGTTACACTGCCTGGAATTGCTACATTGACCTGTGGCTTCTGCTTCCCAGAGATGCTCTTATCGCCATGGGTTCTCTTCATGTCCAGTTACGGATTCTTTGCCTGCAGGCATCCCTACAGGCACTTGTGGCAAATTCAACTCAGAAATGTCAGCAATCATCTTTGGTTCATACTCCTCCTAAGACTTACTCTCCTCCTGGGCCAAGTTGTATAGCCCTCTTTCCAGCAATAGCTACAATTCTCAACGTGTGTCTTCGTTCTGGGCTTGTCATCAGATGTGCTTCTTCACCCCTAATGCTTGGCCCTCCCCAACCCCCAAGTCCCGCTGAGCCTTCTCTCTCTTGCGAACCCCTTTCTATCCAGTTCCCATCTCTCCACACCCTCCCAGCCCGTCTCTCCGCTGCCCTTCCAGGCCTGACCAACCCACACAGCGGTGCTACTCCACTCCCTAAGCTGTGCACCCTTCCCTCCCCCTCCCCCTCAACTTACCTACCCAACCCTAAGCGGCGTCCACCTCCCACAATGCCCCGCGCCCAAGCCCGGTCCGGCCCTTGCTCCCGGGATGCCCCGCGCGCTATCCCGCCTTTCTTCCTGCAATGCCTAGCAAGGTGGCTTTTCACCAACCCTTCTCTACTCCCCGTCTGTCATCCTTACGACCTAGCAGCCTCACCGGCTCATCCACAGGCTGGACAGGCTTGGGGCCGCATCCCAGCATGCTGTGCGTGACAGCGCCCCTCCCCTCCTCACTCTGTCCCATTTCCAAGGGGCCTCACGCTTTGAGGACTACAACTCCCAGCAGCCTTCGGGCGATAGTGCGGCGTGCGACACCCTCACGCTCCGCCCTCAGCCGTCTCCGCCTCCGATCCCGCCCGCCAAAGTCTGCGCGCGAAATCCCTGTGGCGCGAATTTGGGTTTTCGGGTCCGCGTCGCTGAACGAGCGAGTGCGGCGTCCGGCCAGGTGACTCGAGAGACAGGTGGGGCCATAAACACGTGGCTGGGGCTGGAGCTCGGGTCGGCGAGCAAGGCGGAGCGCTTATCGCCGGTGAGCTTCGCTAGTTCCGGGGTGTGGGTAGAGGAACTGGCGTGGGGACATCGCGGCGGCCGAGGGCGCAGGGGAGAGGGATAGCTAAGAGCCAGGTGGAGGAAGAGCCACGGACTGAGTCGTGGACCAAGGCGACAGCTGGCTGGAAAGCGCCGGGCGTCTGCCGGGGACTGGTGGAGGCCTGGGAGGGGGCGGGCCCTGGGTGAAAGGCCGGTGGTGGGCGTGGTCGTCGGAGTTAGTAGCGCCTATAGGGGGAGGGCGGCCTGGGGTGGGAGGGGAATGTTTCCAGTGTATGGAGTTTAACACTAGACACCAGCTGTCAATCAGTATAGGATGCTAGATGTAATGGGTCCAGGTGTAATGGGACGCTTGCAGTGAGAGCAAGATGACGTCACTGGTCTGCTAGAGGTCTTATTAAAGATGAGAGAAGCTTGGCGTGTCAAGAACCAGGCTGTCAGAAAGGGGCATGAGATAAACGGGTTCTTAAAATTGGGTGTTTTTCCCGAAGAGAAAATTCATGTTTCTAATTGTAAAGCTATTTTCTTTGTGTGTATGTATTTATGTGTACCAGGTATTGTGCGTATAATGTGTTTGGTAATGCACGAATGTATGGGAATCCAGGTCCATGTGTGCAACTACCACTCTACCTATTGTCTTCAAACAGGGTCTCTCACTTACCCCGAAGCTAACTCACTGTTCTGGCTAATCTGGTAGTCTGGCTAGTGAGCTTCTGGGATCTGCCTTTTTCCATCTGCCTCCATCCCACTGTGTTGGGTTTACAGGCATGTACAGCCATGCTTGACATTTATTTATTTATTTTCATTAATTATTTTTTTACTGATAAAAATCTATTAAAGCATTCTTTGTATCTTCATTAGGTGTATTTCTACATCTAAATAATGCTATATGAAAAATTGTAAAAATTAAAACAAGAAATATAAAGTGATCACTATCACCAATAAATTGTCAATACAGCCTTTATAGGCTTACTTTATATTGTGCATTCCTACACCTGAATTGTGCTGCATAGACATTAATTTATTTTTAATATGGTGCTAGGTTCGAACTCATGTTCTCTTGCTTTTATATGAAGCACTCTTACCCACTGAGCATTCTCTGCAGGCCTGCCCAGTTGCATTTGTTCTTTCATTTCCTTAAGAGTTGTCCCTCTACCCTCAGGTCTGCATAGCCAATATCCTTAACAACTAGTTCTTTTGATTTCTTTTTCAGGTACAACAGATGAGAACAAAAGAACAAGAGAGGAAAGGGGAGAATTCTGCTGCTACCATGCAGAGAAGCATTATGTAAGTAAGGTCCCTGCCATGCTCCAGGCACTGTGTGTTGTGATGTTTCCTGGAAAAATGAGAACTGTCATTCTCATTTGGTGCCAGATAGGGCACTAAAGAAATGACAAGTCAAAGAAATGGTTCTGTTCAAGTTTAGCTTAGTAAACCAGTGAGTTTATTGATATCACTTATAGGAAAGTTGGTGCCTCAGAGGCAGCAGTATCATTCCAAAGCTAACTCCAGCATGGGTGATGACTTCTGAAAGTCGCATCCTTGGAGCTTTCTGTTCAACCTTCAGGCAGCTCCACTGAAGAATCCCCTCACCCCCAGCAATTGCTCACTGTTTATATAAACCTTGGGGAGCGACAAGTGAGTCCTATAACGTTCTGAACCTCCTCAGTGTCTTCCGCATCCCAATTCTTGAGCTCCCTTCTCCCTGTAAGAGGGAGAATCCACATAATACACTCTCCAAACCCTGGCCTTTTGGCTTCAGATCTGCCTTTTCCTAGGGAGACTTCAAGTTGAACTTTACTAGAGTTAAATAGTTAGGAAAATGGGAGATGGGATGTGGAAGAAAGGTAATGCCTCAGTCAATTCACTTATTAATTTTTAGTTGCAGGGTATGGATCCCTACTGCACTGTTTCTCAGTCTTCAGTTTTGTTTCCTGGGAACCTATGGCAATGTCTAGAGACATTTTTGGTCCTGATGATTTAGGGAGTCAGCGATCTGCTTTTGATATCTAGTGGACAAAAGTTAGGTATGCACTGAACCTCCCTCAGTGTACAGGACAGCGTCAGCACTAGGTTCAGAAATCGTGTACTAATGAAAAGTAGCTTTAAGTACATGAGAGTAAGATACTTGGTTTCCATAGTGACAGGCTTGATTAGATTCAGCTATCAAAATGTTGTCATGGTCTATCTCTGTGGTCAGTTCTGTTACATTTGACATTTTTATCCTCAGGCTGGATCTCCCAAGATTACCAATCCCAGGGAAAAGAGTACCTCTCTCCTTTATTTATTTATTTTATTTTTATCCACCATACATTATATCTCGACCACAGTTTCCCCTCTCTCTACTCCTTCTAGCCCACACTCCCTACCTCCACTCTCCTCCAGATCCACTCCTCTTCTGTTTCCCTTCAAAATAAGGCCTCCCAGAGATATTAACTGAAAGTGGCATAACAAGTCTAGGCACAGACCCTCATATCAAGGTTGGATGAAGCAACCCAGTAGGAGGAAGAGGGTCCCAGAGAAGGCAAAAGAGTCAGAGATATCCCCGTTCCCGCTGTTAGGTGTCCCACAAGAACACCAAGCTACACAACTGTAATATATATGCAGAGGACCTACCTCAGACCCGTACAGGCTCCATGATTGCCAATTCAGTTTCTGTGAGTCCCTATGAGCCCTGTTTGGTTGATTCTGCCATGGTGTGGTGTCCTCCACCCCTCTGGTTCCTATATTCCTTCATCTCCTTCTGTGAAGTTTCCCTGGCTCCACCTAGTGTTTAGCTGTGGGTCTTTGCATCTGCTTCTATCAGTTGCTAGAGAAAGCTTCTCTGATGACAATAGAGCTAGACAGCAATCTATGAGCATAGCAGAATATCATTATGAATCATTTCATTGACTTTTTCTTGTTGCCAGTTTTGTTTGGTTCTATTCTGGGTCTCTAGGCTATCCAGCCTGTTTCCTGGCCATCCACCTCTTTCTAGTACAGCAATATCCTATAGTCATGTTTTGGCTTGGAACAGTTATGCTGGCTGCAGGTGTATAGTGTACTATACTAGTTTTCCAGGCCTAGGTCATGTGTCCATGTGTCATAGGTGTAAGTGTAGGCCACCCATGTTATATACTAAGAGAAAAAAAGGAATAGATGCTAGCAGACTCAGACCTGGACATCTATTCTAGAAATCTGGGAGGCACAAATCCCCAGTTACTTCTTGTGATAGGAAACCTGAGTATTGTCTGTCTTGGGCTGGCAACTCTTTGTTGATATGTTTTCTATCCTCTTATTTTGTTTTCTTGCCATCTATCTATCTATCTATCTATCTATCTATCTATCTATTTATCTATCTATCTATGTATTTATAGTGTCCAGAATAGAATAAAACCCAGGGTCTTTACCCATGTTAGGGAAGCCCTCTACCACTGAGCTCCTATGTCCCAATTGTGCCCCTCCCCTACCTTAAGAATATACAAAAGTAGAGCAGTCTGCAGGGCTGGCGATGGTGTTTGGAGCTGCAGGTGTGGCCCAGATGGGCAGAGCATCAGTGCTATTAATGACTCCCCTTTTGCTCCTCCAGGTCATTTTTTCAGCCCACAAAAGAGGGTAAAGTGAAGAAACCCGAGAAGGAGACACCTGGAAACATCAGAGAGAAGGGACCCCCTCCAAAGTATGTAAGGGGGCTAGGACAGAGCTTATATATGTGTTTAGCATGTATTTAGCATCTTTTGTCTGCAGGTATTAAAAACCTACTTCACATGTGCCAGGCCTCAAATGATATTTAATTTAAATAGCTAGCTGACAGCCAAAGGCAGGTACAACTTTAGGCATAGCTGGATCCAGGACTTCAGAGTTCTTGTCAGGACTCTATTTTTACATGCTTTGCATTCATTCTAGACCAGACTCTTTTCTTAGGTAGGGGAACTGGCCACATTTTGATTCATACATTTGCAGGAAAGATGCTGTGTGGCCTTGCTTGGGTAACACAATCATCCTTGGGCCAGAGCATGAATGTGAATACATTTAGGTCATAGTCCCTAAATTAAGATGTTGAGCAGGAAACCACACTTCTTTTGTCCCTGTTTCCTTGTGAGTAAAAAGGTGCCTAATATCCGATTGGCTGATATCAGATGTGCTTTTCGTTTTTTGTTTTTGTTTTTTGTCTCCCTCTGCTGGGATTAAAGGCCTGGGTTACCAATGTTTGGCCAGATGTGCCAAGCAGTAAAGGCATTTGTTGAGGTTGGTTACTGTGTCATATACATTGCTTTTTGCAAATTGCATATGAAGGCTTGTGTTCTGTAATTTACTTAGATCATGCTATATATTTATGTGTTATTGTTCATCAATTTGCTTTTGTTAACATGGCATAAAAGAAAATTTTTTTTCTGTTAAGGAACTCAGGCTCAGTTCTTTTTACCTTCTTTTTTGTATTCCTTTCTATGAATATCATAGAAGTGAGTTAACATTTCATTTTTGGTGAATATTTAGGTTTTTTTCTTTGTGGCTGTAACAGTCTATGCTAATATACCTAGATTTGCTTTTATTATTTTTAGCTAAATGTATATGTAGTTACATGTGCAGGTATTTTTGTTTCTCTAACATAGGTCTCCATATGAGAAATTAGGAATAGTGATTGTAAAAACATTAACTAAGAGAACTAAGGTAGGAAGTTGACCTTGGGGCTAGAAAGGTGGTACAGCAGTTAAGGGCACAAACTGCTCTTGCATAGGACCGCAGTTTACTTCCCACCAACCATGTCAGGTGGCTCACAATTACCTGTAACTCCAGTTCCAGAGGATCTGATGCCTCTGGCTTCTTGGAACAACTATGCCCATTTGCACCTATTCATACATAGATATATATGTGTATGATGGCTTAGCAGTTAAGAGCATTTGCTGCTCTCCCAGAGGACCTGGGTTCAATTCCCAAGCACTCAGGTGGTGGCTTTCCACCACCTGTAACTCTAGTTCCAGGGGATCTGATTCCTTTTTCAGCACTAGGCATTCATGTGGTACATGAATATACATGTAAGCATAGCACCCATACACATAAAAATAAATATGTATATATATATATTTAATCAAAAAAGATTTTTTGACTTCTTTCTACTAATCCCTCATAGAGGAAGCACTGTGGCCAGTTTGCAGTGCTGCAGCAAACACATTTATTGGCACAGTTGATACTTAATATATCTGATGCGTGGGTAAGTATCTGTTATGGTAGAGCCCAGGGTCTGCCTGTTTGCCACTGTTAGAGGTTAAGTGGTTGGCACAATGCCTGACATGTAATTCATACTCATTAACAAACACCTTCAGCTTATTTTTAAATAACAAAAGTGAGGCTGTTATACATGCAGATTGATTCTGTGTTGTTTGTTCATGGTATTGCACATATGCATTTACTCAGAAAATAGCTGTCAAGTATTTTCTATGTGCCAGATACAGCTCAGGGCACTCTGGGTTTTAAGGGGAACCAAGTGGACAGCTATTCCTCTATTCTCCAAAAAGTCTGTAAGTAAAACTCTTTCTGTGGTGCTGAGTATGAACCTGCTTCTCTCTTTGTAAAGTGTTGTATAGGATGCATGCCCATCACCAGGAAGTAGGGAGTTGTTACTCATGGTAGCCTCTGTTTACACTGTGAGCTCTGAGGACACTCAGTACCTGAGTGACTGTCATTGGCATGTATGCCACCATGCCTGTGTCCCCATAAAGCTGGGAGCTTGGAGCTGGCACCAAGGGGACAGTGACTTAGAATAATAGTCTCCCTTTCCTCGTGTAAGACTTTAGATTATTACACTATTCCCTGGGCAACTGAGACTCCTGTGACTAAGAGAAAAGGTCTCCAAATGGCTGTTAGTGTCAAGCCAGTCCCTGGTCTCTGCCAAGAAATACACTTGTTATTCATGACATGTCACCACAAAATGCCTCAGGCATGGGATGGAGAAAAGAAGGGAGGAAAGGATACTTAAGAGCATGTAATGAAGTCAAGTATGCTGGCACACATCATAATCCCAATGAAGTGTAGGCAGGGGGATCAGGAGTTCAAAGTCAGCCTGTGTTGCATACTGAGTCTGAGGCCAGGCCCAGCTACATTAGACCATCTCAAAAGGAAAAAAAAAATGAGTGAATGTCATGGAGGCATCTAGAAGATGTTTACTGAAATGGAAGAGAAGGGAATGCATAGTTTTTTGATCAGTTTTGCCATGCTGCCTGCCATGTGCTCTATCATCTAACTTCTAGGGTGGCATTGAAGGAGAGGAATCGAGTGGTACCTGAGAGTGATTCTCCAGTGAAGAGGCCAGGAAGGAAGGCAGCCCAGGTCCTGAGCAGTGAAGGGGAAGAGGAAGAAGAAACCCCTGGCACCCCTAAAGTCCAGGTAGCTTCCAGCTGGTCTTTTCTAAATTTATTTCTGTGCACATATGTGTGTGTGTGTATGTGTGTGTGTATCCTTGCTGTGCATGTGGAGGTCAGAGGGTAACTTTGTGGTATTCTCTCCTTCCACTTTCACATGAGTTTTAGGAATCGAACTCTGGTCTCTAGGCTTGTGCAATAAACATGTTTATCCACTGAGTCATCTTGTTTACCTCTGGGCTGCCAGTTTCCTACTTACCTATGCAGCTGATTGGAGTAGTACAGGAAGACTCTGGGGACATTGTCCAGGAAATAGGCAATCTCTGCTGTTGTACCTTGAAACAGGAGGGTTGGAGTACAGGGTCACAGTCTGCCTCTTCTCTGTGAGGTGTGGCTCATTTGGTCCTTTGACATTGTGCCTCAGGTACCTCATGGAGAACATACCTCTGGTACTGCCTACTTCACAATTATCCTGCAATTCTGTAGGTCAGGTACCTGGAATGGATTATCTTAGGGTGTGGGCAGGGCCTTTAGATTCTGGATTCTCTCCGGGAAGAGAACCCTGTTTCTCTATTTGCTGAGCTAGGCTTATGTTCTCTGCTTTCTGTGGTTACATTTCCTTATGACTTAAGCTTCTGCTTAAGTTTTTAAAATAACTATTTTGTGTGTGTGTGCATGCCATGTGTATGGTATCACAGAATAATGTAGAGAGTTAGTCTTCTCCTTGTGCCTTGTGGGAGCTATAAGGGAGGTTGAAAATGTAGTTCTTAGTCTCATGACTACACTAGCTGCAGAGGAGGCAGAGAAATGTAGTTTTCAGGACCATGATTGAGATACAGTCTTTAGTTAGGCCACCATATATAACTGAAAAAGGAAGATTCTGTTACTTTAAGAGCCAGAATTAATTTTAAGGTCCATAATGGAGTGAATCTGAGACACTAAAACTTTGTTGATAGGTCTAATGACACCTAGGTGAGAGAAGGTGGCCTTGGTGGGGATGGGACAGAGGAACTAGAAATGAAGATAGACATAAGGGACTGAGTCCATTCTACTCTGAAGTATGTTGTAGCTGTGACTGCTAGGTGATGCGTACATCCTTTTTATTCTAGAACTGTTCTTTCTGTCTTTTTCCAGAAGCCTGTGTCAGACTCCAAACAGAGTGCTCCTCCCAGCCCTGACACAAGTCCTGAGAACAGTCCTTTCTTCACCAGCAGCCCTTCACTGGACTTCTCCTCGTCAGGATTCCCAAAGCGTCGCACTGGTAAGGACAGGCCAGCTTCTTCCCTTCCATATGTACTACACATGGTGATCATTCTGCCAGTGGCTCTGATGGTATTTTGTGGTGATGAGCACAGTTAACTGTCCCTCAGCTCTGTGACCTGATTCAAACAACTTCACCTTTGCAGAGGTGTGGCTACTTTACTGAGGTATAGTGCCAGCTGCTCAGAAGTGCCAGGATTAAAAGCTGATTCATGTAAAGTGCATGGGCCTGCCTTGGCCCACAGTCAGTATATGGTATATGTTAGAAGTTGTGATTATCATGGGGAGTGATGGCTGCTCACAGCTCAATATAGGAACACAAGAGTGTAAGTATATAGAGTTTTAGAAGAGAAGGTAACTAAGCTGAGCCCTGAAAGGCAAAGAGAACCAGGTGGGATGGGAGAAAGGAAGAGAATTCCAGGTAGTATGAAGGAATTGTGAACATCTGGGTCACTTAAGTTTGGAGTTCTGTTATAGGGAGCAGAGAGTTAAAGGGACACTGAATGAAGACACTTGAGAACATTCTAGAGAATCTAGATGGAGGAAGACTTTATGGGAAAGGGCCAGCTGAGGGGCCCACCTGTGAATTGGGGGACTGAGCCTGCTCTGTTGGTTTGCAGTGTGGTGACTGAGATGGGGACTTGTAAAGTTCTGGTGCTTTAATTAATGGATATTGGGAAGCCAGTACAATCTGAACATCCCTGATCTGTCAGATCTGAAGTGTTTACCAGTTCAGCCAGTGTAGCCTGCAGACTTAAAATTAAAAACCCCACTAAACTCTGCATTTCATACAGGGTGTTCCATCAGAGCTGGCCTCAGCAAGGGAGGACTTTCCAGTGTTCTATGAACAGGTTGGGTGTGGGAATTGGCTTTTTATACAGAATGCTGTCAATTTTTAAGAACCTAAACACAGTCCAAATATTCATGACAAAGTCCTGATGTATAAATTGACATGTATGTGTAGAAGGTCAGATTTTGAAGACTTAGTGTATATTTATTTCTTTTTTCTTATTTCCCCTTCTCATTACTGTGACAAAAATCTTCCAAAAGCATCTTAAAGATAGGAGAGTTCATTTTGGGTCACAGTTTGAGAGTGCAGTCCATAAAGATTGGGAAGGCATGACAACAGGAGCAGGAGGCAGCTGGTCATGTTGCATCCATGTCAGGAAGCAGAAGCAGAAGCAGATCACACTGGTGCTTAGCTCACTTTTCCTCCTTTGTTTCTATATATTCCCAGTCCCCAGTGCAAAGGATAGTGCCATCCAAATTCAGGGTGAGTCTCCCCCAGTTAAAACTTACACCTCACAAAGGTGTGTCTCCTAGGAATTCCAGATTTAGTCAAGTTACTCAGCTTTAAGAAAAGACTGCTCATAATTTAGAATAAAAAATGTGGTCAGATCATAATTTATGGTTAAAATTAGGTTCTTCTATTGGCTTTTTTTCCTCACCCTTTAAATGCTCAAGTTTAATATCACATATGCAGTTCCCTGAATTCTTCCATGGAGTAGAGCTGGGCACAGTGCTGCTCCGGAGATCAGAAGTCCGTTGTCCATGGTGCCTACGGAAGGAAGGGTCAGAAAAGGCAAGTGGAGACTATCCCAGATAGGAGACACATGTGCAAAGGTCCTGAGGTAGGAAAAACAGGACATGTGGGAATTCTGACACTGGTGTTTCTAGAGAATACAGTGTGGTTTGAAGAACAGAAAGGCAGTGTGAGGATAGTATGTTGAGAGAGGAGAGTAGTGGCTGGGTCCTTAAGACTCTCAGACACCAGGCTGAGGGTGCTGAATACATCCTGTTACTTAGTTGAGCTTGTTTTCTTTCTCAAAATAAAAGAAAGGGGACAGTAAAAAACTCACTCATGGTCACAGATTCAGAGCTTGAAGGATGAGGTGTACATTGGTTAGTGGCTATGGCAGGTATAGAAGGGAAAGGGAATCCAGAACGTTTTTAAGTTGCCCCTCCATCAGGCAGTGTATCTGATCTTGCTGGGGCATGCACATACAAACCAGTGTTTAGCCACAGTGCTCCTTTTGCCTTCCTAGCTCGGAAGCAGCTCCCGAAGCGGACAGTTCAAGATACTCCGGAGGAGCAGGATGAGGACAAAGATAGAGCAGCCAAGAAAAGGAAGAAGGAAGAAGGTGAGGGACCAGGATGAGAAAAGTGTGTGTTGTATGTATGTGTGTTTGTGAGCGTGTACGTGCATGCACAAGTTTGTGCTCACATAAACCCATGACACAGAATGTTGACCTGCAAGGGTAGGAGAGGTGTGTGCAGTACATCGACTTCTGGATCTGATATCTAAACCTTTAAGGCAACATATCAAATTTGGGGCCAGGCATGATACAGGATCACTGCCAGTTTGAGGTCATTCTAGTCTACACAGCAAGACCCAGTTTCAATAAATAGTTAAATGAATAAATATTCATTACCCCTAGTACACAGGAGCTCATTGTGAAAGCTTTTTGAGAAACATTTTTTGTTCTTGAGTTAGTATTATTTATATATAATTTTTTAAAATCTTGTTTTTATAATGAAATTCCCTCAGCTAGCTTTTCATGTAGTGTCCAGGAGGTGTCGCTCTCTTCCCTTGGAGACTGCAGAATGTCATATTGTTGAGAGGGTTTCCTTTATTTTGGGGCAGTGCTGGGAAACAGCCATGGGGATGGGGCCATTGATCATGGGGCTGTCTGTGATTTCATCAGTTGCAGTTGTTAACACAGCCAGGTTTTTGCTCATGTGATAAGAAAAAAAATCTTCATTAGGCTCAATTACCCGAGACAGGTTTGAATTATTTGGTGGAGTCTTGATTTCCTATTGGCAATTTGTAGTCAGTAAAAAATTTCACTTCAAGTTGAAGATTTTTAGCCATTCTGAGTATCTCCAAGTAAAAGGAGTATCTTTGCCCTAAAGCAATTTTCCCTAAGTTAGTGTCTGTGATTTTGTCATTACCCTGGAGTCATGACTTTCTAGTACATATGTAAATAAAAAAATGTATGGGCTAGACAAATGCTCCACTATTGAGCTACATGTCAGTATCTTGTTTTAGAGACAGGGTCTCACAGAAATGCCCAAACTAAAAATTGAATTTGTTCTGTAGCCCAGGCAGACTTTGAATTTGGACTTTCCTGCTACAGACTGTACTCGGTGGGAGTGCCCTTAGGCCTCACTGCCATTTAACTTTTCTGTCTTTCATCAGAAACACAGACCCAAAAAGAAAGCCACACAGAGGCTGAACAGGTAAAACAGAAGGAAGAAAAGGAGGGGGACCAGCTCATAGTTCCCTCTGAGCCCACAAAGTCTCCTGATGAGTTGTTTATTTCCCCAGCTTCATGATCTTGAATTGGGGAGTAACTTGACTGTAGAGGGTGGCTCGTTTAAAACAAGGCACATACTCTCCAACTTGGGTTCTGTGTGACCTCCAAGATAATCATAGGTTCTGCTGTTACTATTGGGTTTATTGTTTGTTTTACCCCATGCACGTAGGAAAAGAGAAAAGAGTCCTCAACTAAAGGGCTTTTAGACATCATATAACAAACTGAGAAGGTTAAGTTTAGTAAGTGTGACACCTAAGCTTAGTTGCAGGATTCAGAAGTGGGAGTGGTTCTTGCATATGCAAAAGCATATGCAGCTTCTGTTCCCTAGTGTCCTTGAGACTCCTGTGTCATAGGTGATGACTGCAAGGACATACATAGGCACATACTTTATTTTGTTTTCTTCAAATGCAAGAAAAATGGTACTCATTGTTCAATTCATGGTAAGCATTTTGTGTGTGTGTGTGTGTGTGTGTGTGTGTTATGCTGGTGATAGGTATGCTGCCTGTGTGTACATCAGAACACCAGAAGAGGGCACCAGATCTCATAGATGGTTGTGAGCCACCATGTGGTTGCTGGGAATTGAACTCAGGACCTTCTGGAAGGGCAAGCAGTGCTCTTAACCTCTGAGCCATCTCTCCAGCCTCAACTGAGGTTTCTTTTTCACTACCATTCTTAAGCCTTCCCGTTTCCTGCCCAGTGTCAGCTGTGCTTTTATTAACTCTGAGGAGTGAACATTAGGCTAGAGAGGCCCTGTATTTGCATAACAAGTGGAGAAAGGTTGGAATTGCTTAGTTTTCCACATATAGGTCACTGTGACTTTGAGATCTAAAAGTCTAGAGGTAGAAACTGTATCACCGTCTACCCTCTCTCTTCAGAGTCAGTAACCCTGACAAAGACAGAGAACATTCCAACGTGTAAGGCCGGAGTGAAACAGGAGCCTCAGGAAGAGAAGCAGAGCAAGCCTCCTGCCAGAGCTGCCAAGACACTCAGCAGCTTCTTCAGTGAGCACCTCTTTCCTCTTTGTCCCTCTGGGCTATGCAGACAACAGATTGTGCAGCTCTGTTCAGGCAATGCTGACTGGACAAGGCATGGGATATGGGGAATGTGAAGTAGGGACCCTCTACTTCCTGTCTTCCCTTGCAGCTCCCCGGAAGGCAGCAGTGAAAGCTGAAGTGAAACAAGAGTCAGGTACTCCAAGAAAGGAAGAGACCAAGGGGTGAGTCCGAGTCTGAATGCCCAGGTCTGAGAAGGGTCTCTTAGCACAGTCTCTTCTCCATGTCCATGAATCAGCGTGGGCTTCCTCTTCTTACATGGCTTAGCCATTGGTCTATGTTTTAGACCCTTTTGGCCCCTATTGCAAAGCCTTAGGTTGCAGGCAGAATAAGAACTGCTCAGAGACATAGTTTGTATACCCATTGATTGCTTAGCTTCTTGCCTGACTTTTCATCTCCAAGGTAATCATGGTAATAATCCTTGCTCCTCATCCTTACCCATCTGCCTAGAGTGGTTTGTGTTGTTTCTAGGACAAAATCTTAAGCCTCTTTGTTCACTGATCTCACGCAAGCACTCCCTTAGCACTCACTCTGATTCCACCATATTGAGCTTACCAGGTTGAGCGCATGTTCTGGAAATAGCAAGCACTGATGTCCTCTGAGGGCCTCTGTGCCAGCCCTGGGTGGCTAGTGGGTATGGAATATGTAGAGCCACTTCTTTTTCCTGATAACCACTGTGGATTAGAGTTGTGGGACCCTGAATAGGCTGCTAAATGACTGCTTTATTGTGATTGGGCCATTCTTATACCACTGGTTATGAACGTAAGATTTGGTGAATGGACAGTCTGGTGGATAGGTTGATAAATGTCCTATAAAATAATAGGATCAGACCCCATTTTTGCTTTACTGAAAATTGTATGTAGGTTGGGGTTATGGCTCAATGGTAGAGGACTTGTCTAGAATCACCAAGTGAGGGCCTTGGGGCATGGCTCAGTAGTAGATTATCTACTAGAATACCCCAGTGAGGGACTGGGTCATGGCTCAGTGGTAGAACACCTGTTAGAATTCCCCAGTGAGGGGCTAGAGACATGGTCAGTGGTAGAGCTCTTGCCTAAAATCTTCCACTGAGGAGATGGAAGTGTGGTGGCCTTTGGCTTTGTGAGCCAGGCCCAACATATGGTAGAAACATTCCATTAACTTCTTAGACCCAGAGTTAAGCAATTTCATTTTTTAAATTTATCTTTATTATATGTGCATTGGTGTTGTACTTGCATGTAGGTCTATGTGAAACTGTCAGATGTGATTTACAGACAGTTGTGAGCTGCCATATGGGTGCTGGGATTTGAACCCAGGTCCTCTGCAAGGGCAGTCAGTGCCCTTAACCACTGAGCAATCTCTCCAGCCCCGAGTTAAGCAAGTTTATCTTCCCTTTGCCTCCATAGAACCCTGGATCCAACAAGTTATAATCCTTCCAAGAATAACTACCATCCCATTGAAGATGCCTGCTGGGAACACGGCCAGAAGTAAGGAGTTACCTTCCCATGCTGTCTAACTTCTGTCCCTGTGACTATGGGAGGCTGTCACTTTGGCCTCTGTTGGAAGAGCTGTCATATCTCCCATGCTTGTTTTGGGAACACAGCACCACGGGAAAGGATAGTGGATAGTAGCCTCTGCATTTATCCCCCAGGAGGGTGTAAGGAGGCAGGCTAGATACAGGATGTTTTGACCTATTCAAGTGGTTCTCATATCTCTTTCTCCTTTCCCAGGGTCCCTTTTCTCGCTGTGGCCCGGACATTTGAGAAGATTGAGGAGGTTTCTGCTCGGTAATTAATTACTCAGGCATGGGGCCAGGTGCTCCGTGGTTCTGTTCTGAGCATGGTATTGTGTGCTGCTTTCTGCCCTACAGTCTTTCTTCATATCTTCTCATGGTCACTGTTCATTCACAAAAATGGCTCACATCATTTTGAGCCCCTTCCTGAGAAGACCCTCAGCATGATTTCTTTTCTTTTTGGATTTTGAGACAGGGTCTCTAAATAGCCATGGCTGTCCTGGAACTCATTTTTTCGGTCAGGCTGGCCTTGAACTCACAGACATCCACCCTCCTCTGTCTCTTGAGTTCTGGGATTCAAAGCGTATGCTCCATGCTTGGTTATAGCATCATTTTTGATGGCATATTTTCTTGGTCTAAGTGGGTCCACTATGTGCTCAACGGCTGCACACAGTCAAGATAGCTATGACTGTAATTGAACACAGAGGTTTTACCCTTACTGCATTGTGAGAACATCTCTCATTGACTGGAACTCAATTGTGCTGTTCTGAAGTATGAACATTACAGATGCCCTCAACTGTCAGTGTCAAAGGTTGAACATGCCTGTGTGAAACATAGTCAGCCAGGTTTGTAGGATTAAAAAATAGATTCTAGGAACTACAGGAGATGCTACATAAAGTGCCTTCAGCCTTGCTTCTACATCTCAAGTGAATGGAAGTCTAGTCTTGGTTACAGAGAGTATGATCTCCCTGGCCCAGCTGCTTCTGCAAAGTCTTCCCTCCTAGTGATGCTTAGTGTCAGTTGTCCATGTTGGCTCCTTTGCTCCTTTCCTCAATCCTGTCCCTTGCTGGCCTCCCATATCTAGGGCTTTCTTCTGTGTGTCTAGGTATTATGGGGTGCACCTCATTCTGCCTGTTCTTATCTGTTCAATCTTGTTTTTACTTCTTCATGTTCGTTTAAGCTTTCCTGGTATATATAAAATTTCCTATAACATTCTTTAATTTTTATACATCTTTAGTCTGCCTTCAATGATTTGTCCTTAGAAGTATTTCCTTGGGAATGTTTAAGAACTTCCCATAGGGTGTAACCCCACAGTGAGGTAATGGAGGACACAGGAAGGACTTTGAGTACCAGGAAATGTAGCTCAAAAAATGGCTTACAGTAGCAGCTCGGTGTGGCGGTCAAGAAAACAGCATTGCTCTGCTTCCTGTCTGTGTGCCTATGGAAGGCTCTCTGAGCCTCCATTTCCCCATGAGTAAAGGGGAAAGCATACATCTGTGTCTTCTATGGAGACTGAATTTATCGATATGACAAAGGGGGAGACATTAGCTTTCACAGAATCTCATATGTTGTCTACTTGGAAGGAACTGCAGGTGGCTGTCCTGACCCATAATCCAAAATCCTGGGGTACAGAGGTTATCAATTTTGTGTGTTTGTGTAAGCTTTTTGTTGAAGGTTTTCTGGGAACTCTCAAGACAATAGAGTTTTAATGTATCTAGACTGGTTTTCTTTGTGTTGATGTTTTATTAGGGTTATGGTCAGAACCAAGATGAGCAGAATCAAGATGTCAGCACAGGCTGATATTGTTCTTCACGCTGTTAGTGACAGGGATTTCTGCTTTCATTTGCTTTGTGACATTTGTTCACTTTTGTCCTGGTTTCTAGTCTGGGATTTCCATCCTTGGTGTTTAGCTGGCTTGTCCTCAGGCATCCTCTCTCTCTTTGTCCTTTGTGCTTTAGCTAAAGCCGAAGGCTTTGGTTGTTTGGGTGAAGGTCTCAGTTTGGATTTGTAGCATCAGAAGTAGTTTTAGACAATGCTTTCTCACTACATATGATGTCTCTAGTCTGGTCCTCTGTCACCAGGCCCCAAGGCTGCATGCCTGGCTTCTCCACTGTGCAACTTCTCTCTTGGCAATCTTTTGGAGACTTCCCGTTTTGTTTTTAAGCTTTACCCATTGTTTCACCTCTGCTGCTATCCCAGGGCAGCAGAAACAGATTGCCATTTGGAGAATTAAAACAAAAGAAAGTTATTTCCCCACAACTCAGGTAGCCTGAAGTCCAAAGACAAGACGGTGGCAACACTTTGGATGTTAGTAGGCAGGATGACTCCTCTTGAAGCTTGGAAAGAGAACTTGGCCCACCTTTCAGCTTCTGGGACTCCAGCCAGCCTTGGCATTTCTGGCTTTTATATATCACCACCTTCTCTTTCTATGTCCTTTTCTGAGAGGTCCTGGGTTTAGAGCTCACCATAATCCAGCATGCTTTTCTTTTCATCCTTAATCATACCTACAAAGTTCCTGTTTCCAGATACGTCACATTCTGGAGCTGAGTAGGCATGGGTTTGGGAGGAAGATGTCCACACATCCCAACATCCAGCAGTTGATTCTTTTCTGGAATAGCCATCCTTCCCTGTGGTTTTTGCACAGGGGTGGAATAGTGATTCTGTGTTTCTCTTTTCCTTCCCTTCCACCTTTCTAAAAGAATTGTTCTTCAGGCTTGTTCTAAGGAAAACACAGCCTTTTCAAAAAATTTGTTGTTTTTTTTGAGACTGGTCTCATGTAGGCCTTGAACTGCTCTTTCTTGCCTCCATATCCTGGGTGCTGGGTTGCAGGTGAGTCTCCACACCCTGATTATATGGGGATTAGTATATGTTGTACAATAATTTTATCAACTGAACTATATCTTCAGTCCATATGGTCTCTTTAGTTAGGCCACATACATTGAGCAAACAGCAAGCAAGTTTCTGTCTGTGTCACCACAACCAACATTCACAGGGAGCATGGCCATCATTTTCAGTGGCATGAGAGTCCTTGGCCTGAACCTCAGCCTGATGCTTCTTAGCTTCCTGGCCTTGGGCAAGTCTTTCTATCTGTTTTTTTCACCTGTAAATTGGAGATGATAATGTCATCTGTCTCAGAGTGGGCATGAGGATCCATCAGTTAAATGGTGGAAAAGGTTAAGACCAATACCTTCTTGAGGAAGTTTCTGGGTATGGCTGCTGTTCTTTGTTAGTGATTACCACCATCTTCACTGTCATTTTTTTCACAGTTCCCCTTCCACAAACAAGCTATCATTGTTCCTTTGGCTCTTCATCCCCCTCTTTTCTCATATTCCTTTTATTTGTTTCCCTCACTTCCTGGCACCCCACTGACCTTTAGATAGGTGGACCCACCCTGGCCTTTCTTCCAGGCTCAAGATGATAGAGACACTAAGCAACCTGTTACGCTCCGTGGTGGCACTATCACCTCCAGACCTGCTCCCTGTCCTCTACCTCAGCCTCAACTGCCTTGGGCCACCTCAGCAGGGACTAGAGCTGGGCATTGGTGACGGTGTTCTCCTCAAGGCAGTTGCCCAGGCCACAGGTAGGAGGGACCAACAGGAGGGGCACTTGGAGGGTGTGAAAAGTTGCATTGTAGGATGTAGGTGGAGAAAGAGGCCACTGGGAAAGAGTACTTGACGGCCAGATTTTCAAGGTCTGGGCAGTATAAGGTGGGGAAGCACAGCCTTTGTTGGGGCAGGAGCTGTGAGATTGAAAGGAGGGGTGAGGAAAGACACTGGGGCACAGCTCAGCCCACTGAGTTGTCTTGATTGCCTGCTTGTCCATCTTGCCAGCCTTCTGCTTTTACCTCATGTATGCCATGAATAGGACTCTATTTTGGAACATAAGCAACGGCAAGGCACATATCATATTGTAATTGCTATTTTTGAAAGGTAGAACAGTAGAAACATAGTATAACAAGAGGGTGGAGACTGCTAGAGACCAACTAAGGCTTGTACAGGCAGCCTTCTCTACTTCCATTGGCCTCATCCCATCCCATGGGTTTCAGTTCCATCTGCACATGTCTCCCAGTCTAGGTGTGCGCACCCAGCTGCTTGTCTTCTGAATGACTGTTGCTTAGGCTTCTTACACTGACCTAACAGGAGCAGGCACTAACTAGTTGTATCAAGGAAGCAATCTGTAGGAAAGGGGAAATACCACAGGCCCAGGTAGCTGGAGAAGCATCCATCTAAGGAGACAGGTAGCTGTAGTGTCCTTTCCTTTTCCTACCCCACTGTTTCCTTAAGGTCGTCAGCTGGAGTCCATCCGGGCTGAGGTAGCTGAGAAGGGTGATGTGGGGCTGGTAGCTGAGAACAGCCGCAGCACTCAGAGACTCATGATATCCCCACCTCCACTCACCACCTCTGGAGTCTTTACCAAATTCTGCGACATTGCCCAGCTCACTGGCAGTGCTGTAAGTGGAGCAGGCTGGCTCATCCCAACACCCAGATGTCCTGGGACCTAAAGCAAAGCATGTGGTGGGGACTGTGTGCCTTGATTATTGGGGTCTGAGCATTCATTTCTGCTTTTATGGTTTGCAGTGTTTCTTCCCATTCTCCTCTGGAGATGCTAGCACCTAATACCATGCTTCCTGGGGTCAGGACTCTTGTTAATGCTTGTTGGACAAAGGGAGAGTGGCAAAAAGAGCTAGCACATTGTCATTGTCCTCAGAGCAAGAGGCTACAACAGGTGGTGGTGGTAGTGGTGGTGGCGGCAGTGGCAATTTTTTTCAAGGCTGAAAAAGAGTTTCTCCTCTGATGGTTCCTTGCCCATTCTTCACTTTGTTCAGTCTATGGCCAAGAAGATGGACATCATCAAGGGCCTTTTTGTTGCCTGCCGCCACTCAGAAGCCCGGTTCATTGCCAGGTAAATATGGAGCTCATGAGACTGGGGAGGCATATGGGCCTAGTTGGTGAGCACTCACCAGCTTCAGACACTGCTAATACCCTTTCTGCTTTCTCATGAGAAAAGTACCATCATGACCCAGTTATGACCTTGTGTTGTTACTTTTGTTTGTTTGCATTACTCTGGTTAAACTACCTGACAGAGGAAAGGAATATTTTAGTTCATGGTTTGGATAGTTTGGGTTCATCACGGTGGGGAAGGCATGGTGGAATTTGTGGCAATAGGAGTCTGTGTGGGGCCAGACCAAAACCTCCTACACAGTCACCTTGTAACTTGCTTCCATTGGATAAGCCCTACTTCCTGAAGTTTCCATAGCCTTCCAAAAAAGTATCATCAGCTGTGGACAGCATTTAAAATATGAACCTGTGGAGAATATTTCATAGCAAACCATAATGACTTCTGTCATGGGCTAATTCCCCTCCATTGGTGATGCTGTCTAGAGAAAGATCCTGAGGTTCAAGGGTAAATTGTGTGATTGATTAGTGATGTTTGCCTGAATTCAGTATAAAGTTGTCATGGCTGTGGAAGAAATGTCACTGACCTCTCTTGAAGTATGTCTTAAAGCAATTTTTTAGGTGTTTTGCCCTGTACCTACTGTTTGATGCCATTAAGTCTCCCAGCCATTCTGTGAGGTAGATCCTGTCATCCTTACTGCAGGTGATAGAGGTGGAGGTGCAGGCCATTTAGCTACCCATGTACTCACTGGCATAAAGCACAGCCTGGCTAGTCGGGTTTTGACTGTCACACCCACTAGAGTGTGCCTGGGACTTGCCCTTCTTAAGTTCCTGCTCTCTCACCTGTGAATTTCCTGTTTCTGTTTCCCAGTGGCCAGTGGTCATGGCCATTCCTGGCTGCCCTCAGTTTCCTTGTTGTTTAGGGGGTATGTGATATCTTGGGTTCCTTTGAGGCTCTGAAGACTATCAGGATATTGAAGAGGTTCCATAAATTGTAGAAATTGGGGAGACAGGAGCAGGTAAAGTGTGGAGGGCAAGATGAGAGTGGCCAGCTAGCTCACACCTGCTGCTCTATCCTAGGTCCCTAAGTGGGCGGCTGCGCCTTGGGCTGGCCGAGCAGTCGGTGCTGGCTGCGCTTGCCCAAGCTGTGAGCCTTACACCCCCTGGCCAAGGTAAGAGGCTCTGGCCCATTTTCATTCCATCACTGTGTTCCCAGGTCTTCTCTCCTCCATCTGTTGCTCTGATAATGCTCTTGGGCAGCCTACCTTATTCCTTGCCTTATCACATGCCATACAATGCCTTCTGTGACCCTGGACCCTTGAAAATCTGAGGGGTCTTGCTCATTACTAAGCTACTGGTGGGTCTTTTCATAGAATTTCCCCCAGCCGTGGTGGATGCTGGGAAGGGCAAGACAGCAGAGGCCAGAAAGATGTGGTTGGAAGAACAAGGAATGATCTTGAAGCAAACCTTCTGGTGAGATGCAGGGTTGGGCCAGAGTGATGGCCGACACGTGAGTGACTGATATCGGGCTGATAATTTTAAGGACTGTAATTTAGGTAGGGATGGTGCTGGGTTGTGAACAGTGATAGACACAGCAGATGAGGGCTGCTGGCACAAATTCCCAAAGTTCCAGTCAAAGCCCTAAGGGACCCAGAGAAGAGGCTCGTGACTACTTATAATAGATGTTAACCGGCACAGAGAAGATTAAGTCTCTATAGTGAGCCACATGAAGGAACTTTGGCCAGCAGGTGACCTAGGTAACTGGTCTTGGTGACCATGCCAGACAAAAGAGGAACACTGAGCAGTCCCACAATGTTCCCAAGGCACCTGATCTGGGCCTGACCACCCTGAGTGCTGGGCCCAAAGCAGTGATGAATTTCTCACAGAACTCTCAGTGGCCCAGCCTCTGGAGGCTCCACTGTCTGCCAAACTGTCCAATCTACTCTGCCCTGTCCCAGCCTAGCTGAATGAGTCAGCTGTAGACTTGAGGGGGGCACAGTCACTGCTTGGGACATGAGAAAGGGGTGATGGAAGATGCATGCTCAGAGAGACAATCAGCATGATGTGTAGTGAATAAGAGTAGGACACAAAGTGATAGGTGTTGGGGACATGGTCACAGAGATAAGCAGAGGTGTTCGGGAGCACAGTTCTGGCATGGACTGAGGAATCTCTTTACTTTTATATAGATAGTGGAGTTTTCAAAGTAGAGTTCTAGAAAGACCCTCTGTGGGCTAGGTGTGCTAATACACACCTGCAGTTTCAGTATGCCAACTTGGAGTATGTAGCAAGAGCCTGTATTATTAAATCAAGGAGCCAGCTTAGCAGTTGAGTGCTTGCCTAGAATCCACCACTTAGAATTTACCAGTGCCTGTCTAGATCTATCCCCATCTGCATCCGGGGTGTGGCTTAAGAGCAGAACATTTACTTTATTAGCCCAAAGCCCTGGGTTCTACACTTAGGTTCTACACTCTGTCCTAGCACTATGGCGAGAACAAAAGACTTTGTCATCTTGCTCTCTTCTCTCTAACCTCTCCCTAGTGAGGTGCCTGACCTGGACCGAATCATCCCTGTGCTGCTGGAACATGGCCTGGAACGTCTCCCAGACCACTGCAAGCTGAGCCCAGGTACCATGCCATGGGCCCTCGAGGCTGGGCAGCTATCCTCTGTGGAGCAGGCGTGAACAGTTGCACCCAGACAGCTTCTGAGTACTTGTTTCCTTAGCCATGGCCCTTATCTATTTCTCTGAGGGAAACCTTATGAACTGGGCAGGGCATGGGCTACAGCAGTAGAGATTCTCCAGAAGGCAATGGTTTGGCCATAGAGAATTTGTCATGCACATACATGTTCTAAGCAAGCCGGGCAGCCATGCCATGGCAGCATGTGGTTGTGCTCCAGTGGTCATCCAGGGATCTGTGTTCCCTCTATCGTGTCCCTCTGCTATCTTGAAGCTATCACTCCAGAGCCTGTATGATCAGGGAAAGAGGGGAGGTAGTGTTGCTTGTAAAAGGTGTGACTGATATAACCATATGCTGCTCTTGTTACTTCTGTATTCACTGATGGCCTTCTCTAGCTTCCAGGGAGGCTGGCCTGGGGGCCCAGGTATCTCTTCTGAAATGTGTCCTAGGCATATTGGTAGCCTTTGCCTCTCCCTCTAATTCCTTCATCCAGAACCTTCTGCCCCCTAACTTACTTTCTTTCCTCTCAGGGGTCCCTCTTAAACCAATGCTGGCCCATCCCACTCGGGGTGTCAGTGAGGTACTGAAACGCTTCGAGGAGGTGGATTTCACCTGCGAGTATAAATACGATGGACAACGGGCACAGGTATGGGAGAGCACAACCCTTCTTGTCTGAGGAAGGTACTCGGTACAGGTCCTAAATGGCACAGTTCTCTCTCTGGCTTGAATATCTTTTCTGTTGAGTAAGTGCAGTACCCTTCATCCAAAGCTTATGGCAAAATGGGATTCCAAGAAGCATCAGGAGATGCTGACTCCCCTGGTGCTTGCTGAGTGCAATGTGCATTTAGGGGGTTGACCCCTAACATAGTGATAGGCATGTGCCTCCTGTGACCCAAGGCCTTGGTCCTGGGGAAGTGTGTTATGGGTCTTCTGCTTTGGTGGGATTTGGGACTAGCTTGGTGTTTGTCACATGAGGAGGGGTAGCACATGATGTGAGTGGTATCTGGTGTTTTGAGGCAGTCACAGCAGAGGATTTCACATGTACAAACTCAGCAGTGGCTCCAGAATAATATGGAGAAGACAATCAGAAAAGAGTTTGTAATAGTGGTCATGGTTATAAACATATATGGAGATATATATATATATATATATATATATATATATATATATATATATATGTTAAAGATATACATATGAGATGTCAGATATGTAGCCCTGCTCAAACCCTGTGACCAAACAGTATTCAAACAACTAAGCCAACAGTAGAAGCCAGAATAGTTCAGTTGTAGCACTGTTCATTCAGACAGGTCTGTGTCTCACTCAGCAATACAGGGAGGTAGGAAAATGGGAATATGGAAACTATAAAGGCAGGCACCAGGCTGGTGAAATGGCTCAGTGAGCAAACATGTTTTACCAAGTCAGATGACCTGAATTCCATCCTCAGGACCCACGTAGAGAAGGAAAAGAACTTCCTTAGCTTGTCCTCTATCTCCATGCTCAGAGTATATTAAATCTGGTAGTCTCTCTTTCTTTCACACACACACTTTAAATAAAGGTTAAAGAAAAAACATAGGTGGTGGATACCACACACAAGTGGCAGGTACCAGGAACCTTGAGGTGACTTGTGCAGATTTGTGAGCTTCTCAAATCTAAGAGAAGGTGGGGTCTGAAGAACATGTCACACAGGAAGGATTTGCTTGACTTCCTCTCCCTTTTCCTGTGATGGTAGATCCACCTTCTGGAAGGTGGAAAGGTGAAGATTTTCAGCAGGAACCAGGAGGACAACACAGGAAAATATCCTGACATCATCAGCCGCATTCCCAAGGTGAGCATCTGCCTGCTGGGGTGTGGATATCTTCCTCCAGACCAACTTGGTACAGTAGAGTGGTACTTATTAGGAGGAGACTAGAAGATGTGTAGCTGCGTATAACAGACTTACTTCAGCATGGCCTGAGCAGATGTTGCTTATTTCTCTAGTCTGGAGGCAGGCGATCAAGGCTGTTCTTGGTTGGCCAGCTTTTCATCCCGTTCTTTTCTCCCCATAGTCACTATACTTCCAGATAGAGGGAAGGAGAGTTCTAGGCTATGTCCCACCTAGCCCATGGGGGAAGTTAATGCTTTCTTGGACCCCTTCCCTCCCTACTCCTACTGGCAAAGTTTGTGGATACTGTTTAACACAGGTTTCTATGAACATCCTTAGTAGAATCCTGAATGAGGCTGTAGTCTGTCCAGTGGTGAGGCTGAGAGGACCTGAAGGGCACCAGCCTGTGAATAGATGGAGCTTTACAAGTAGTTCAGAGGCATAGCAGGGCTGGCCCTCAGACCAGAGGTTTCTCTGCACCTTGTGGATGTTGGGAATTGAACCCAGGTCCTCTGCAAGAATATCAAGTGCTCTTAACCATTGAGCACATCTTAGTTTTGCTGTTTCTTGGAAGTGGCCTTATGCAGCATGTTGTCTTCTGTGTCCATTCACTCAGCAAGTGTTGATTTGGCATATATTGTTTGCCATGATCTGCGGTATCATAGCCAGGGCTTGTTGCCTTCATTAGAAAGGGCCACTGTGGACTTTGAAGGAAGGGTCCAATATTTGTGACCATGAATAAGAACCATAACTGAGGCTGGGATTTTGTTCAGTGGTTAGAACACTGGTCTACAGTCTACCAGTGAGAAACTAGGGGTGTGGCTTAGCAGTAGAGCACTTGCCTTGGGTCTATCAGTGAGGGGCTGATGGCATGGCTCAGTGGTAGAGCCATTTCCTTGAATCCATCAGTGAGGGGTTGTTGGTGTTAGCTGAGTGTTAATGCTTGCCTGGCATGTAGTACCCAAGTATTCAATCCCTAGCACCAAGTGAGGAAAAAGTAGATTTGAATTGTCAAGAAAGCAGTGCTTTAAAACTATATAGCTAGCTCTTGGATGCAATGTGAAAGGCAATCTCTGGCTTTGTACCAGTGTTATACTGAGAGAAAAGAAGGCTTCCCAGGGAAGGCAAACCACAGAAAATGGGGTTGTAAGGAAGGCAAGCATTGTATTGGGAACAGCATGTGTAAAGGCCTAGTGCTGTGAGACACCTACTCCTTAAGGCACAGGCCAGCTGATGTGCTGAAGTGAAGAGAGGGTTAGGGGACCAGGCAAGGAAAGAGAGGACCAGGGGCTGATGAAGAGTTCTCCACAGTTCAGGGAAGTGGCATACCATTTTTTATCAGCAAGTACAGCAGTAATGATCAGGGTTTGTGACAATCACTGTGGTTGCTGCCAGAAATTATTTGCAGGGGTCAGTGCAGGATGGAAGACCAGCAGATGGGGTGGCTGAGGTGGAGACAGTCTGGCTTAGTCAGAGACCTCAGAGGGGAAGTACTGGGTCCACAGGAAGTTGAATGTGGTTAAAAGAAGAGGGAAGTATCTCTGTGGCCATTGTTGTTGTGTCTGGTCTGTAGTACCAAATGGCAAGTCATCAGGAAAGCTAGTACACCTTTCTGTGTGAGATGTACTTTCTAGTGGTGAGGACTAGGATGCTAGTACTTTCTGTGGTGAGGACTCAGGAGGATTTATGTTCTTGTGTCTTCCTGAGGTCAACTGTGGTTCATTAGCAATAGGAAGGAAAAGAAATTCATTGACCTGCTTCTGTCTTTTGATGTTTTCCCTCACTGTGCAGATTAAACTCCCCTCAGTCACATCTTTCATTCTGGACACTGAGGCAGTGGCCTGGGACCGGGAAAAGAAGCAGATCCAGCCATTCCAAGTGCTCACCACACGCAAGCGCAAGGTAGCATCAACCCATATACTTCCTGCTGCACTGCCACACTCTGACTTTCTCCCAGTCCTGACTTTGGGTCCTGCCTGGTCCTCTAAGGGGCAAAGTGAATCTGAATGTGGATCTTCTAGCTTTGGCAAAGTGGTCACCATCGTCCCAGCCAACACATTCTCATCCTAGAATCTCAGTTAGGAAAGGGAAGGGTTCTTTTCCTGTGTCTTGTTTCACTATGAAAGCCCTATTGGGGAAGTCAAATATCCTGTACCTCAATTGTCTTTCTTTTTATATTTAGTTGGCTAGAATTGTGATATATTATCATCATTAGCTGCAAGGGAGGCTGGAAAGCAAATCATGTATGAAGGAGAATGAAGTCTGGATTTTCCAGGACCCATCTTTATTTAGGCCTTATGCCTGGATCATTGCTGCCTCCTAAGTAGTGTGACCTTAGCTGTGGGGAGGAATGATAGGCATCTGCCTGTGGCATGATGGGATAGGGCACAGAATGCCACCTCCTCTTCCCTCATGTCTGTTCTTTGTTCTGTTCCAACTAGGATGTTGATGCATTAGAGATACAGGTGCAGGTGTGTCTGTATGCCTTTGACCTCATCTTCCTCAACGGAGAGGTGAGTTCTGCTCTGTGATAGGTGGCCACAAGGTGGCAGGTTGGAGTGAGCTTGAAGCTGTCTCTCTGGCTTCCTGTTCTGAATCTGCCCCATCATTGAGCTGGGATGCCATGCTCAGGCACTGGCTCTTTTTTTTTTTTATTTTCTTTCTTTTTTATTATTAATTACACTTTATTCACTTTGTATCCCCCCATAAGCCCCTCCCTTCTCCCCTCCTGATCCCACCCTCCCTCCCCCTTCTCCATGAATGCCCCTCCCCAAGTCCACTGATAGGGGAGGTCCTCTTCTCCTTTCTTCTGATCTTAGTCTATCAGATCACATCAGGGCCACTGGCTCTTCTTACTATTTATTTTGAAATAAAGGTGTGTTTTATAAAATACACTGTGTGTTGATGTATAGGTCTGACATGGGAGTAGAGTACCTGCCTTGGCTTTCTCTCAAGGGCCTCCTCATTTGCAGAACACAAAAAAGGGAAAAGTAAATGTTTTGTTTTTTGGGCATACATATTAGATTTTTTTTTTTTTTTTTTTTTTTAAGAATTAACAACTATTCTTTAAATTTTGAATTTCTGATATGGTGAATATCAAGGAGTATGACCTCCTCTCCTCTCCCTCTAAATAGAAGCCCTTTGAAGAGAGTCCTCATGTACCTTTTAACAAGCTAAGGGTATGGCTCAGTGGTAGAGCACCTACCTAGAATCCCCCAGTGAGGGGCTGGGGCTCACAAGTAAAAGTGCCTGCCTAGTATTTATATCTATGGTATCTGCTAAAAAAGTAAAATTAGATTAAAAAAAAAAACTGTAGAGGGTATTCAGCATGTAAAAATGCTTGCCAGGCAAGCCTCATGATATGACTTCAGTCCCTGAAACCTATGTAAGATGGATGGAGAGAACCGACTGCAAAGATTATCATGTGACCAGCAGATGCTTGTCATGGCACACTCATACCTGTACATTATGATAAACAAACAAATAATAAATAAAAACTAAATTAGAACTCCACAAAGTGTCCATTGTGGCACCAGCAAGGTGGTAGTTCCCTATTAAGTAATTCTGAGTTGAGGGTGTTAATGGGGTCTGCCTTTCTCTGATTCCTTTATGTACAGTTAAAGCTCTAACATAATAGTCCTGCTGGCTACTGGTTCTTCCTTCCCCAAGGCTTTCTACAAATTCATCATTATGTGTGACATTATGTATATACTGTCAAGGTCTTGACTTCTGCAGTTTTTGTTTCTTCAGTGTTGTCCCTTTTTTTTCCCTCACAGTCCCTGGCTCGCCAGCCCCTGTCTCGACGCCGGCAGCTGCTGTGGGAGAACTTTGTGGAGACAGAGGGTGAGTTTGTCTTTGCCACCTCCTTGGATACCAAGGACATTGAGCAGATTGCTGAATTCTTGGAGCAGTCAGTGAAGGGTGAGTGCAACTACTTTTCTCTTTGAGGGTCTGAAACTTTGCTGTAACCTGTGCCTACCATGTTTCCATCTCCCGTCCCTTGAGATTTTGTTTGTAATACTACCTGCTTATTCCTTGTGAGCTGCTGCTTCTTTAGTCAGGCTTCCATGTTTCCTACAGACTCCTGTGAGGGCTTGATGGTGAAGACCCTGGATGTTGATGCCACATATGAGATTGCTAAGAGGTCACACAACTGGCTCAAGGTGATTCTGGCCTCAGCCTGGCCTTCCCAGTGTGTATGTCTATCCCTACTGTGTACTAGAGTCTCCAGCCCCTCCCTGATTGAGTGCAGGGTTCCATTATATGATTCTAACCCAGTCAAATGTCTTCCTGAAGTAAAGCATGGTTAATGGCTCTTCCAGGAACTTGCTGTGAACTTCCTAGCCTAGGCTTTAGGGATATCATGGTGAGGAATCCAAGCCAGGTCTTTATGGCCCTGTGTTTATGTCCTTGTTGCATGACGTGTACAAGGGAGGGGCTTCTTTGTTGTGTCCAAGGTAAACTACCTCTGATGAGCTCATGAAGAAAGAGTCAGTGTGGCTAGGGGGTTCCTGGGAGGGCCCTGGGTAGTTTAGAAAAGTCTTCTGGAAGTGAAATCTGGGCCCAGCAGTGGACAGCAGGAAGGGGTAGAGCAATTGGGCAAGAGAGCCACAGATGCAATGGCCTAGAGGTGGAGTAGGCTCAGTACTGTAAGACACAGAGTGGGTGGGGAGGTTAAGGGAGCAGGCCGTAGACTGTGGAACACTGTGGACCCAGTGAGATGAAACTGGAATCTTTTCTAAAGGTTTCAGGGAGCTAGCAGGAGCTCAGAGAAAGCCATGTGATCCTGTTGTCATTTTGCAGGGGTACTCTGCCTTTTTTTGTAGAGAATAAGCCAAACTGATACAGATTGGGCACAAATGAGGAGAGTAGGGGAGTGTTTTCTGGTACAAGATGACAGATGGGGGCTCTTGGGCAAGCCAGCCAAGTGCATTTTCTCTTTGCTCTGGTTTGTTTTTCCTGTCTGGAATCAGCTCATTGTATGTAAATGTTCCTTGTTTAGCAGTAATTCACTCTTGTAACCATACTCTTAAGCACCTACCTGGTACCCACTTGGTGCCTTATAAGTGTTTTTTGAACAGATGGTTAAGTGTGAAGGAATGGGTTGAATGAGTTAACGTTGACTATTTGGGAGCTGTAGCAAGGAGGGAAACAAGGTGACTCCCAAACTGGGTGTGGTGCATCCTGTAACTCCAGCACTCTGGAGGCTGAGGCAGGAGGATCCAGATTCCAGGTCAGCTTGAAGAGATAAAAGATGATTCCCCTCATACACTTCTAGGAGCTCATTTTAGCTTTGCTTCAAGCTAAAAAGCCTTTTTACCTACAGCTTCCCAAAAGAGCCTTGCTTCTCTTCCTCAAAGTCCTCAAGAACTCAAGGACAAACTTCAAATAGTGAGTTTCCACCTGCCCTTCTGCCCCTCTCATGTCTTACTTTCCTCCTCCAGCTGAAGAAGGACTACCTTGATGGCATTGGCGACACTCTGGACCTCGTGGTGATTGGCGCTTACCTGGGCCGGGGGAAGCGGGCTGGCCGATATGGGGGCTTCCTGCTGGCTGTCTATGATGAGGAGAGTGAAGAGCTGCAGGCCATATGCAAGGTACTGGGGACTGGTTTCTGGTCACAGAATCAGGAGGGATGTAGTTTCCCTCTGGGGTGGGCCTGTGTCATCGTGCATGTGCAGGTTCAGCCAGTTCTGAATAAATGACTGACATTTTACATGCTTATCTATGTGATCAAGTGACTTGTAATTTGTCGTATTTTTGGGCAGTAGCTTGTTACCATTTTACAATATTTATCTAGAATGGGGGTTTAAAAGCACTATTGTTAAGGCAGAAGGCAAAAATAATCAGTGAGGACCTATCTAGTTAGAAACTTAAATAAGCAGTTTAAAGATGTAGCACAGACTATTACTACTTTCTTTTTAGCATTTCCTTGGTAACGTTAAGAGTAGGAGTGGTTAGTGGTGATGCAAACCTGTGATCTCAGCCACTTGGGAGGTAGGAGAGTCACAAATCCAGTGCCATCCTGGGTATGAAGGTAGGAATGTGGTTCAGTAGTACAGTTTCTGCCTAGGATCTTCTAGTGAGAGGCTGGGGCCATGGCTCAGGCAGGGGTAGAGGCCTTGCCTAGAATCCTCCGGTCAAGGGGCTGGAGGGCATCTGCCTAGAATCCCCCAAAGAGAGGTTGTGGCTGTGGCTCAGTGGTAGAGATCTTGCCTAGACACTGGAGAGACCCAACAGAGGAGAGTGGGCTTTTGTTTTTATTTTTTTATTTTCAGAAAGCAAAGGGCAATGTTTGACAGGTGCAGCCTTTCAGTTCAGGAGCAGGGTTAGGTGCTGTACCAGCTGGCCAGATGAGCTTCTAATTCATCATATTCTCCTACAGCTGGGAACCGGATTCAGTGATGAGGAACTGGAGGAGCATCACCAGAGCCTTCAGGTGGGCCCTGCGACTCCCCTGTGGCTCTCACCACACTCACTGTGCAGGGCTCTGGCTGCATGGGATCCCAGAACATCCAGATCACAGATCTGCCAACTATTTCCTGGTAGTGCTGTCGAAGGGGCTGCATGTCTTAGCATAGCACACTGTTTCCATTAGGTTCTTATAGTTGTCCTTCTTAGTGGTTTCAGGCATTTTGGGGTATGAAGCTCTGTCCTGTGTGTTGGTATCTTCAGGTCTGACTCCATCTATTTCCCATTCTTAGATATTTCTGCTGTTCCCTAGGTTTGTGCCTCATCTCTTTGGTCCCCTTCTCTACCTTTTTGACTTTAGGGACTGCTCCACTTTCTTCCTTCATCCTAATCCCTCTTCCCCTAAAGCTTTGGTCCTGGCTTTGAGGTTTAAGCTCATCTCCTTTCCTTCTGCTCACTGCAGGCCCTGGTATTGCCCACTCCACGTCCCTATGTGAGGATTGATGGGGCAGTGGCCCCAGACCACTGGCTAGACCCAAGCGTTGTATGGGAGGTGAAGTGTGCTGATCTCTCCCTGTCCCCCATCTACCCTGCTGCACGGGGACTGGTAAGTGGTGGGGTGTGGGAAGGACTCTAGGAGGGAAGACAGAGTTGATGTGGAGGGACTTTAGGATGTGCTATTCCTGTGTATTGATTAAAAACCCTTGAATATATTTGGGCTGTCAGGTATCATTCTCAGATATCATGTCAGAAGACAGTGGTTTTGCTCCCGTTGGTAGCATCTCACTTTTTTCTCCACAGTTAATTGAGAACCCAGACTTACAGGAAAGTTTACTACGTTTCCCCTGTGTTTTCTTCATGACTGAGGTTGCTGCTTCATTCAGAATTAGTTGTTATACTGCCAAGTTTTACAGTTCCATGGCTATTGTCCTCCCTGTGTCAGAACAGATCAGTGATGTAGCTTTGGTGGCTATGGCAGTCAGTGGGCAACACACAGGAGACAGTGCAACTCAAATTCAACGGCCCTTCCTTTGACTTTTCTTCATGTCCTGAAGCTTGGCTGTTGTAGAAGTGGATTTGTATCTTGAAAAATAGACCTTCTTGGTTTTTGTTGTTGTTTTTGTTTTTTAGGGTTTTCCTGGTGCTTAAGAAAGTTGCTTGGCTACTAGACTTGGGGAGTCTAGCTGGGTGCTCTGCCACTGAGCCATGCCCTTAGCCCCTCATTGATAGATTCTAGGCAGGTGCTTTACTACTGAGCCACTTCACTGGCCCCTCACTTGGGTATTGTGTTCTGGCATACCCCTCATTTTTACTCTTTTTTTTTTTTCTCGTGTGTGTGTGTGTGTGTGTGTGTGTGTGTGTGTTTATCCTTTGTTTTGAGACAAGTTGTCATTATCCCATACAGGCCTTGAACTTCTTGAGATTCTCCTGTCTTATCTTTGTGAGCAGCTGGTTATGTTCAAGTTCTACCAGGCTTGGTTTATCTCATTTAAAAAATGTTATTTTTCTCAATATACAGTAGAGAGCCAGGGCCTCTTGTATCAAGTGCAAGGAGCTGGCTTTTATCCTATACTTACTATAACACAGCCATAGGTTAGTAACTGGCATATTAACCTTTTAGGCCTCCCAGAAATGCCAATCTGTGCACCTGTGTTTATAGGTAAGAAAGAGATAATGCCACAGAGATCTGAAGTAACTGGCTCATAGCTGCTTGGATTCTGAGAGTTGCTAGCTGGCATTGAAGCTCTTAACAGCATAAATAACTATAGAAATAATATTTCCTGAGTGTTACAGTATACTGGATACCAAGATTTCAAACATGCTGGCACTTTCTTTAACCCTTGCGCCCATTGCTCAGCACCATTGAGCTAAGGCCTTGGTCAGGAAAGAGACTAGATAGGAAATCACTTGTCAGCTTACTGCAGTTGGAGCCCAGCAGAGCCCTAATCTTCCTACTGTCCTCTCCCACAGGTGGACAAAGAGAAAGGGATCTCCCTTCGTTTTCCTCGGTTCATTCGTGTCCGTGAAGACAAGCAGCCAGAGCAGGCCACTACCAGTGACCAGGTGAGGCCCTGGGTAGAAGGTTGGTTCTGACCAGGAGCTGTAGAGGTATGCGTAGCTGGGGGAGCTGCTGATAACCCACCCGAACCCTCTCCTCAGGTGGCCTGTTTGTACCGGAAACAGAGTCAGATTCAGAACCAGCAAAACTCAGACTTGGACTCCGACTTTGAAGACTGTTAAGCTCCCTGGTCTCCTGGGCTTGGGGTGGAGGTTGAGGGAACCTGGGTACTATTGGACTGGTGGTGTTGCCTATTGTGTATGGGGACATGGGGTTGGGGTCCTGGGGCTGGGATGCTTCACTTTCTTCAATAAATGACTATCAAATGCCTACTTGGTGAGGAGGTCTATATTGAGCTCTGTGAGCTAATGTGAGCTCACAGGTACAGCATATGACCACGCAAGGTGCTGGACGATTCCCCTGTTCCCTGCAGTCTGGCAGCCTACAGCCACTTGTGCTGTGTAACATTCGGAACATGGTCATTGCCACTTAGAACTAGAACAGTTCAATTCATTTTTAAATAGCCACATGTAGTCAGTGCTAATCAGTGAATAGTAGCAATCAAGAGCTTTCTCTCTCTCTCTCTCTCTCTCTCTCTCTCTCTCTCTCTTTTTTTTTTTTTCTTGAGACAGGATTTGTCTGTGTAACAGCTCTGGCTGTCTAAGAAGTTGATTTGTAGACCAAGTTGGCCTGGAACTCATAAAGATCTTCTTGCCGCTGCCTCCCCAGTGCTGGTATTAAAGGGAAAGGCATGCACCACTACTGCCTGGCCAAGCTTTCATGTTTTAACTTCTTTGAACTGCCAGCACTCTGGCAGGGTGTCACTACTGTGCTCTTTTGCAGGTATAGATGAGGACACAGAAATGGCCAGGGGCCACCAAATGCCCTGGCCAAGAGCATCAGCACTTAGGACTCCAACCCAGTGGCCTGCTGGCAGTCAGTCCAACATCTTCCAAAGAAGGTTCCCATGTTTTTGGGAGACTTAGTGCAGTACCCAGGTGTGGAGTTTCCATTTGTGCCTCCCATCATTTTGTCACCAGACATCACCTCAGAATCTTCAGTGTAGCATTTCAGTCATCACTCCACAAGATCAAGAAGTAACTGTGGCTGTTTTGCTCATGGCTGTGCCCTAAGTATGATGTTTAGTGTATGACAGGTGCTAAGAAGTATTAGCTGAGTACTAGCCTTCTTTGGCATGTGACCAGAGACTAGCATCATTGTTAGCCTTCCTCCAGTGTTCCTTTCCATCTCTTGTGTGCTTCAGTCTTCACAGAGGTACAGATAATCCTAGCCAGTCTGTGGTCCCATGAAAGTCATCTGAGGCTGGAGAAGACATAGACATGTTGCAGAACTTCGGCAGATGTGATAGAAAGGCTCCTAAGATGAGAGGGAGAATCTTCTAGAAAGCCCTGCTTTTCTGAGATGGTCTCAGAAAGAACTGGGCCCTGGCAGCTTTCTAGGGACCTGCAACAGCTGGAGGAGACATGGACTAGAAGGAGGGTAGACAACCAGGTCTGCAGGGCTAGTGACATTCTTGTGGGACAGAGTGAAAGCCTGCCTTAGTTAGGTTGACCAAAAGCAACTTGAGAAGGAAAGGGTTTATTTCAGTTTATAGGCCCACTGAGGGAAGTCATGGTTGAATGCCAGGGCCAGGAACTGAAGCAGAGGCCACAGAGAAAGTGCTGCTTTCTTGCTGGCTTGCTTCTGGCTTGCTTGGCTTGTTTTCTTTTCTTTAAAAAAAAAAATTGATTAATCTGCTTTACATCCCAATCAAAGCTTTCCCTCCCTTCTCTTTAGTTTCCTCTCTCTCAGCCCCTCCCCGTCTCCTTCAGTCCTCCCTTTCTCCTCAGAAAAGTGGAGGCCTCCCATAGATAGCATCGTGCCTCAAAGGCATATCAATTGCAATAGGTGTGTGTTGTGGGGGGAAGGGGCATCTTCTGTTATGGCCAGACAAGGCAGCCTAGTTAGGGGAAAGGGATCCAAAGGTAGGCAACAGAGTCAGAGACAGTTGGCCTGTTTAATTCTTACAGCACCCAGAGCCACCAGTCCAAGGGTGGCACTGTTCACATGAGCTGGGCTTTCTCACATCAATTGTTAATGAAGAAAATGCCCTACAGGCAACCTAATGGAAGCATTTATCAAGATTCTGTTTTCTCAAGTGACCCTAACTTATGTCAAGTTGACATAAAACTAGCCCTCACTAAGCCCCTTTAAAAGCAGTTGTCTTGGTTGATCTGGGGAGATGGCTCAGTCAATAAAGTTCTTGCTTTGTAAGCATGAACACCTAAGTATAATCTTCCCCATAACCCATCAAAAAAAAAAAAAAAAAAATAGGCAGAAGTAGTGTGTCCCTGTAATCTAGCGCTGAGGCAATAGAGAGCAGGATCCCTGGGGCTCACTGGCTAGCCAGGCTAGCTGAATTGCCAGGCTCCAGATTAAGTGAAAAACTATACCCACCTCAAAAAATAAGGTAGAGAGTGACTGAGGAAGATATCCAACACTAACTTTGAGCATATGTAAGTATACACATAAACCTGCATACCCATGTGAATACATCAATAGGAACACTTACATACACATAAAAAAGACGTCTTTTGGGCCTTCTTTTGGTTGCGGTTGCAATACTGCCTGGGCTGAGAAAGAGGTGAGTCACAGGAGCTTGAAGCACTGGGGTTATTATAGTCCCTGGCTAGCACTGTCAGTTCTCATGGGATCCAGTTGTGCAAGCCTGAGCCTGAACCAAGTGACTTGCTGCCTTCCTGCCTTGGAGTGATTTCCTTCTCATACTCTCACAAATGAGTCTGATTAGTTTATTATTAATGTATAGTTAATAGGTGGAGATTCTGAGGCACTGGGCTCCACCATCTGGGTGATGGGGGAAGGGTGAGATAGGATTTGGTCCTGGCTATCTGCTTCAGTAAGTATTCATATTCATATATACATATGCATATTCACATACATATATACATATTCACAGTAAGTATGCCATGAGAACCTCCTGTGCATCACTGAGAACATGGAACCTGCCACGGTCAAGTCTGCAACTGAAGGTATGTTGATGGCTAGAGTCTGTGGACAATGAAGAGATAAGCCTGGATTCGGGTAAGTAATGGGTACATGAATCTTCCCCAGAGGGTGAAATCCAGCTCAGCTTAAAAGTTGTCATAGGCCTATTTAAGTGGAAAGAGGATAGATAGAACAGGATTCTAGGTGTATGTCTGAGGGTATCATTGGAGGTTGAAGAATGAATACTAGGAAGCAGCACTGTAGGTTTAAGGTAAATCAAAATGACCAGATCTTAGTTATATGACAATACCTGCAGCAAAGCTTGATGGGAAGTGTTTTATGCTGGAAAGGCATTTCTAAACTAACTGAATGAAACTCACCACAGTTCTCCATATAGATATGAAATGAACTAAACTTAGCCCTTAGCCTTAAATGTCTCATGAGTGACTTCATCCAACCCCTTCCATGTAGCTATTTGTTTGGTACAATTATTTACTATGTCTTTTAGTAAAAACAAACAAACAAACAAACAAACAAACCCTAACCCTCATAAGGAAACTGTTGCTTGCTACAAACTGTTGCTTACTACAAGCAAGTAGTGTGCCCTGAGAACAGCTCATGTAACTATGATATAAATGGGCCTCTCTGTGCTTAGCTGAAGATATCTTACTTTCTTCATGGGCCTCCCAGACCACTAATGATAAAAATAAACCAGCTGCCTGAGAGGCCAAGGGGTAGCAAAGCTAGTCATTGGAAGCAGTATCTGCTTCCAATTGCCATTCCTTTATCTGGAGCTTGTTCCTCACTGCCCATTATGGTTTGTCATATTCTGGGCATACTGCCAGTATCATGCCTGCAAGTTCCCTGCCACCTTGGCAACAAAATCTCAAGGCTCAGGTTGCTGCCAGGATTTTGACAAGTTAGAGGTGTGTGGTGATTGTTCACTAGCCAATCTTCTCCCAAGCAAATTTAGACCCTACCTGAGGGCTGGCAGACAAGAGAGGTTAAGCCCATCTTCCACCAGAGTTAGAAGTTGCCTGAAGACAGGAGCTTTACTTTAGCATACAGAAGCTGGAAGAAGCCGGGAGGAATAGGCTGTTCAGTAAGGGAGCACACAGCTCCAGAGACAGTAGAGCCATGATCAGAGTGCTGACCTCATTTGGTTAGGAATCAATGGTCAGATGCAGGCAGGTTTGGAAATTAACAGAATGTTGTGGAAATGTGGTCCCCAGAGTGTGACTGGCTAGTAGGCTTTCAAATGTGTGCCTACTGAAATGAAGCTGGCCGTTGTCTCTTTTTGTAGCCCAGGCTGGCTTCTTAACTCATGACAGAGGACAACTTGAGGGAGTTAGTTCTCACTCTCTACCATTTGGGTCCCAGGGTCATTTGGGTCCTAGGTCATTTGGCTTGGCAGCAAGCACTTTGACCTTGTTCCTCTCATCTTCCCACTGTCCTCCCATCTTTTCCTTCTCCCCTCTGTATATAAAACTTAGCAACCACAAATGTGATATTTGCCTTTCTGGGCCTGAGATTTCATCTCATAACTTGCAGTTTTAGCCATTTTTATAGCAAGTGGTATATCCTTTATATCTGAATAAGATTTCTCTGTGCATACAGACCACGTTCTCTGTATTCATACCTCTGTTGATGGACACCTAGGCTGGTTCCATATCTTAGCTCTTGTGACTAGTGCTACAATGCAAATATCTGTGGAGCCCTTCAGCAAATTTCCTAGATGGATCTTAAATCTACCATCTTAAATGGGAGTTGGTCTGACTCCCATTTTGACTGGAGTGAGACAGATTCTCAATATAGTTTAAATTTGTATTTACTCAATGGCAGTGATAAACTTTTTTTTTTTAATTACTTGGCTATTTATACTTCATCTTTTGAGAACTGTTTATTTCATTTGCTCATATTACTGAGTAGGTTTGATTTCTTGGTATTTGTTTTTTTTTTTGAGTTCTTTATATATTGTAGATGCTCATCTTTCATCTGATGTGTAGTTGGCAAAGATGTCCTCTCATTCTGCAAGCTGTCATTTCACTTAACTATTTCTTTGCTTTGCACAGGTTTTAAAGTTTGCAATCCCATTTGTTAATTCTTGGCATTATTTCCTGAGTATCTGGAATCTGCCTCACTTTTTTTTTGTAACAATAATGTCTGATCCATTTGGAACAGACCTTTGTAGAAGATGACAGAGATCTAGCTTCATTCTGTTGCGTGTGGATACCCAGTTTATTCTAGTACCGTTTGTTGAAGAGGCTTTTTTTCTAGTGTATATTTCTGGGATCTTTGTCAAAAATCAGGTGGCTGCAACTGCAGGGGTTCTGTACAGCTTTCACACTATGTTTGCTAGTATGGGTGAGCAGGAACTCTTCACTCTTGTGAAATATGGCTTTGCTGTTTGCCTGTGGAGGGTTGGTTGAGTCTTGATATCTCACTTAAACCCTGGTTTTCCTAAATATAAGTTGATAATTGTGCCTGCAGTAGACATGAAATTTCAGTTGGATGAATGATGTAAATGTTGAGCAAGTGGAGTAGGTGGCAGTATGCTATACTAACAAGTTACTTCTTTCTGTGTCTTTGATTATTTCTCTGTAAAATGGGAACAAAAGAGAACTACTTTTTGTGGTTATATAAGTAACCACAAAGAATAATGAGAATTAGATGAGTTAATACGTAAGTGTACTTAAAGACATAATTTATAGGATTGGCAACAGAGTGGTTGTTGGAGCATCCCATCCTTGGTACAGGGTGGGAATCTCATTGCTAATATCTTGAGTTGGCTTGGAGAAAACAAAACATCAATGTAATGAGACTGAGGGAGAATGTTGTTCTCCTCCTGCCCGGGGGTTGTCTCCCAGCAGCCCACAAAGTCAGGAGGGTCATGAGACAAAATGAGAAATGTGCTTGGAATGGCACTGTACAGGGATCACATACTCCAGGACAGCAGGGAGCTAGTTCAACTTTAATGCAGAGAACAAAGGCTGTATGTGCCTTGTGGAGTGGGTGGGGAGTTCCATGTATAGGTGTACATAACTGGTTGGAACTAGGCACTTAAAGGATGCTTGATTTGCATTAAACAGCCATGCTCCTAACATATGAACAGGAACACAGTACCTAATTATCCTATAGGAACAGGAGGGCAGAGCTAGAAGGGAGCTGTGTTAAAGGCCATATATTAAATATGTCTAGGGGCATCTGTGTTTAAGGACACTCTCCAGATGAAGTCAGGCAGAGAGCAGGAGGCCCTGCTGGAAAGAGGAAGTCTTGGACTTTAATGGCGAGCTCAGAAATGGCTATCCAGACTAGGAGCACTGCAACCTCAAACAGCAGGATTCCTCTAACAGGAGAATTCAGATCAACCCCCTTGCTCTACTTGTTTTGTTACTTGCATGTAATGGACTGTACAGAATGCTGGTTTTAGAGGTCAGTGTGGTAAGCTTATTTCAGTCTCTCAGATATTGGCCATAGTAACACCCGTCTGCACCTTTCCTAAGGAGTGCTGAGCCTTCCCTTTGGCCAACAACTCTGTCTTGTTAATCATTTGAGAACTGCTTGCTTGAAACTATTGATGCAAGACTGGATTTTCTGAGATGCCTTGATTTTTTTTTTTTTTCCTTCCCTTTCATGGTGGATGGTGCCAAAATAAGAGTAACTGGTAGCTGTCAGGCTCATTCGGATTTTGTGACTGCCAAATCAGTCGATGACCAGACATCAAGTTTTCCCACACTCTATTCTGGATCACTGGAGAAGCATCTAGATTTCTACAAATCTCTGTATTTCCTAACCTAAACCCCTCTTTCTACTTTCCCTTGCCTAAGGATAAAAGGACTTTAAAACCCCTACTGGATTTCCCCCACTCTCCCCAACGTGTGGTGTGTGTGAGATCATTGGTGCTGGGTTGAAGCCTGATAACGTTGGCCCTTGGGGGCTATTTACCTTTTTGCAAATTAGTTTTTAAAACTGACATTCAAAGTAGTGTGCTTCATTGTTACATTTTTATACAAAAATTTTGTTGCTCTCCCATTCCCTCCCTTTCCTCATCCCTCTAACTGCACCTGCTGTTCTTCCTGTTCTTTGACTGGCTCTTCTTCCCAGTTCCACATTTTTCGTGATGACAGCTTGAAATCACCTGCGGTGACACTATTGACCACAGGAACTGCCAGGTGCTGCAAGTCAGGGTCTCTGCTGTCAAACTGGGGATGATAATATATACTCCAAGAAGCCAAATTAGGTAACATCTTTCTACTACAGACATAAATGTATGCTATCATATCACCAAACACAATATATACATATGTGATATATGTGTGTGTGTGTGTATATATATATATATATATATATACACACACACACACATATAGTGTATATATGTAAATACATAGTGTGTATATATATAAATACATAGTGTATATATATACATATATATGTATATATGTATTTACATATATACATGTAAAGTATATATATGTAAATACATAGTATATGTGTTTTGTGAGTGTATATACACTCGCATATATCACTATATCATATATATAGATAGAGTATATATCTGTGTATGTACAGTATTATTGTATTTGTATGTGTATACACATGCATGTGGTATGTATATATGTAGTATTAAATTATGTGTATAGTATATATTTTGTAGAGGAATTTTAATTCAGAACATGGTTGCTCTTGCAAGAGATCACATCCAAAGACCTAGGTCTGTTTGATTCAGCTGAAAAGTGGTGGTGGCACATGCCTTTACTCCCAGCAGACAGAGGCAAGCGGACTCTTGAGTTCAAAGCCAGCCTGGTATAGAGCAAATTTCAGGTAAAGAAAAGTCCAGGCATGGTGGTACATGCCTTTAATCCTAAACAATGCAAGTAAAGTTAATTTGTAAAAGGAAGCAGAAAGAATACAGATAAAAGCTGCTTAATGGAGCAAGCAACAAAGAGAATGAGGAGGAAGTTTTTTAGAATTTGAAGAGAAAACACAGGTGAAGGGAGAATGAGCCAGAGAAGGAGAAGCCAGAAGATTAGAACATATTGCCACAGTTAGTATGAGGCCAAGTTGAGCAATTCAGTTAGAAGCTGAGAGAAGCCAGTTTGACTCACTCAGCTTGGAGAGGAGTTTGAGCCAGAACAGCTGAGTTGAACCAGCAAGCCAGAGTTCAGAAAGAGCTAAAAAGGTATGCTTATTCAGCAGTAAGTCTAAAAGGTTGAATGTGTTCTAGGTCTAGATTAGATTGTAGTGGGGCCAGAAGCTTCTAGGACGAGGCCTATGTTAATCAGGCAAATAAAATTTACTTTTACAGTATTTAGTGTTAACATGTATGTAGTATGTATATGTGTATATATAATGTGTATATGTAGTCTGTGTGGTACGCCTATAGTGTATATGTAGTGAATACATGTATATGCTGTGTACAGATGCATACATAGTATGTATATGTATAGTGTGAATATGTAATATATATATATATTATATATATATATATATATATATATATATATATATATATGTATATATACATTTACTATTTGCACATGGAGGACAGGAAAAAAGCAGAAACAAACTGCCTGAAGAATATGTAGGTTTTCTAAGAATAGGAGAGAGGCCCAGAGGTGGTGGTGCAAGCCTTTAATCCCAGCACTTGAGACAGAGTCCGGCATATCCCAGAGTTGGAGGCCAGCCTGGTCTGCTCTACAGAGTGGAGTTTCAGGACAGTCAGGACTACAAAGATAAACCCTGTCTTAGAAAACAAAACAAAACAAAACGAACCCAACAACAACAACAAAAACCATACCAAAAAAAAAAAAAAAAAAAGAATAGAAGGGAAACTTCACATCAATTCCTTTTCCTGTTTGACTTTTACTACCATCTGGTAATAACTGATAAGAATAATGATTTACATGAGGAATGTTGCTTACTGAGTGTAAGGTTAGTTGTGATTGTATTCATGTCTCATGTAAACACACAATGAGACAGATGCTATTGTTGCAATTTACAGATGATAACCTAGACACCTTGGCTAGTTAAATATTTTCTGGAGAAACTAACAGGAAGCAACAGGTCCATTCTGTAGGGAGTGATCTTGACACTCAGGGCAAGCGTAGTAACCATTTTTCTGCAGAAATTAATGAAGTAAAGTCCTTGAGTACAGGTGACCTTGTGACTCTGGTGAGTTAAGTGACCATTTTTTTTTTCCTGAGAAATTAACAAAGAGTAGCATCGTTCTGCAAACACAAGACATTGCTAGTCAACTGTATAGGTGCTGTGTGTGCCCAAGAATAGAAGGAAAGAGGAAATAAAACAGGAGAGTAAATGAACAGGAGAGATTGGAGCAATGGGGTCAGAGGCAAGCATATTGTGCTTCTGTGTCCTGGGACAGGCTCTGCATTTGCCATTTGAACATCACAGTCATTTGCCTACTGCCAGGGTATGAGGGAGCTGAACTTAAAGACTGTATTTCTCATAGCTGTGACAGAACACCTGACAGAAGCAACTAAAGGAGAGGAATTCCTCTGGCCCATTGTTTAAGGATATGAACCCATCATGATAGGGAAGGCATAGTGCTGGGACCCCATGATAGGGGGCTGGGATTCACTGTGCAGCTTGTTAATCTTCCAACAAAGCACAGAACTAGACCAGGAGGGATGATAGCCCGCAATATAGAAGGCCCATCATAGTGGTTCTACATACTCCAGGTGGGTCCTGTGTCCTAAAAGTTACCACTCTCTTAAAAGAGTGGCATCAACAGGGATCCAAATGTTGAAATACATGGGCCTGTGGTAACCTTTTGCATAGAAACTGTAAAAGGCAAGCATTTGGTTTATATCTGGATCACTGGAGCCAGCATTTGGTCTCAGGCCTGCTTTCATTTCAGGGTTCTGCTGAGTCCGGAACAAAGATGGGAGAAAGAAGGGAGGAACATGGGAGATGCTGAGAGTACTTCCAAGACAATGGCTGTGATGAACAAGGTGTTAAGAAGACCAAAAGAAGAGAAGATGGAGACCAAAAAGAGAAGATGGAGAGGGAAGGGAGGGAGAGAGAACATAAGAGAACAAGATAGTATGAGAGATATTTAATGGTGGGGACACCAATAGAGGGAGGAGAGGAGAGGGTAGAAGTGTAAAATCAAATACAGTCTCACAGAGTTAAACTAGGGTTGTCTGTTGCCCCACATTTGGAACTATCAGAGTCTGGTGTGCTCAAAAGTGAGTATGCAATTGGGTACCGTTGACACTCTCCAAGAATCTGTTAGTTGCCAATAGATCAGAAGTAGGTGGTAGGACAAGGTGAGCCATCTCCCTCTCTAGAGCTGACACTAAATAAAATGAAAACTAGTAAATATAGGAAGGAGATTTGTAAGGAAGAGATGGTATGGGTGGGAAGGAAATGAGAGAATGGGGCAAGGGGCAATTAGAACACAGTATGCATGTATGGAATTGTCAAAGAACAAAAATTATTTTTATTTACTTTACATCCTAATTGCTGCTTCCCCTTCCTCCTGCCAGTTTCTCCCTCTCCCCTTCTCCCACTCACCTCTCCTACCCTCCTTCTCAGAAAAGGGGAGGCCTCTCATGGATATCAACCAGCCTTGGCAAAAGAACAAAACTTATTTTTAAAACCTTTTTTTTTCTTTGAGAATTTTGTATAATGTGTTTTGACCATATTTACTCTCACACAACTCCTCCCACATCTATTATACCTTTTTTATCCACCCAACTTTCTATCTTCTTTAATTTTCCCTCATCCTTTAAATCTCATTTGTATTGCTCATATGTTCATGAATGTGTGGCGTTTCATTGGAGCATGGTCAACCTATCAGAAAAAAATTTTTTTTGAGACTTTCATATAAGTACTGTGTTTACATCATTTCCACCTCTCCATCTCTCCACTCTACTTCTTCCTGCATCTCTCCCTCAAATATATGACCTCTTTAATAATTGTCGTCAAACACATGTCACACACATGCAAACCCTCATGAGTCTAATTAATATTGTTTGTATGTACATGTGCTTAAATTCCACTTGGAATTTAATAACGTATTTGGTTTATTTTTTGAGAAGACTGACTCTCCCTCTCTCTGTAGCTCTTACAATCCTTCCTTCTCCATGCTCTGCCTAATGTTTGGCTGTGGGTATTTGCATATGGTTCCTATTAGTTGTTGGATGAAACCTCTGATGACAGTTGGGCTAGGCACCAATCTATGAGTATGGTAGAATGTCATTATGAATCATTTCATTGACTTTTGTTTTGTTTTTTGTTTTTTTGGCTAGTTGTGTTTAGTTCTACCATAGGTTTCTGGGCTATCCAACTTTCTGTTCCTGGCTATTCAGGCAATGTTGGGCATGGTCTCCCTCTTGTGACTTGGGTGTGCTGATAGGACAGATTGTAGGTTGAAGGTTTTTGTGGCTGGAAGCCTTGCCTGGTTACAGAAGATGGTATCCTTTATTAATAGGAGTCCTCACTAGTGTTACCCTCATAGATTCCAGGAATTTTTTTACTGTACTAGGTTTCAAAATGGTCCTCCAAATGTCCCTCCATTCCAGTTGTCTCTCCCCATACTGTTTCCCTTTTTCCACTTCTCCCCAAACTGATCCCTTCTGTTCTTATGTCTACCTGACCCCAGTCTGCTGCAAAATCTATCCTCCTTCTCATTCCCGGGGAGATCTATCAGTCTTTTTTAGAACCCCCTTGTTACTTAGCCTCTCTATGTGTCTGTGGATTGTAGCATGATTATCCTTTTTGTTTTGTTTTGTTTTTTATGTTTTGAGACAGGGTTTCTCTGTGTAGCCCTGGCTATCCTTGAACTCAAACTCACAGAGATACACTTAAGTCACCTCTACCTCTTTCTCCCAGGAGCTGGGATTAAACTGCCCAGCTGCATGACTATCCTTAACAGCTAATAGCCACTTATAAGTGAGTACATACCATTCATGTCTTTCTGTGTCTGGGTTACCTTACTCAGGATGATATTTAAAAAATAGTTCCACCCATTTGTTGGCAAATTTCACAATGTAATTTTTTAAATGGGTGAATAATGCTCCACTGTATAAGTGTATCCCATTTTCTTTATCCATTCTTTGGTTGAGTGAGTCTAGTTTGTGTCCAGTTTCTGGCTATTAGCAGCAAGCATTCTTAATTGCTGAGTTGTGTCTCCAGCTCTCTTAAAATTACATTTATTTATTTATCTGTTTATTTGTATGTATGTACGCGAGTGCATGAATGCACACAGGTTTGCACACATGTGCCACAGCTCATGTATAAGTCAAAGGACAACTTAGGAAAGTCAGTTCTCTTTCTTTACTGTGTAGTTCAGGTCATTAGACTTGTTGGGAGTCACCTTTACCTAAAGAGCCATCTTGGCTAGCCCTTGGCTGCTCTTTAGTTTATGTTTATAATATCTGATATACATCTTCAACTCTGAGCCCTTGACATTTGCTTCTAAGCAACCTGCAACTGGTAGATAACTCTTTGTAGGGCAATACTGTAGGTAGTTTCTGTGCTTTCTTTCTCAATGCGAAACTCCTGAAGTTTCCTGTTTTACTCTTTGTCCTGGGAAGCTCTGAGGTTTACTTTGTAGCTGGAGTCCAGGAAGCAAAAAGGCAGCTGTGCACAAACGTAGCCCTAAAGTGTTGGAGGTTCTGCAAAAGCTGAACACCCAGGCTGATGAGGTGAGTGCAAGTGAGGGGTCATACTGGTGGGATTGTTTCTGCTGTCCCTAGGCTCTGTAGTTCAGCTCTTCCAGGATGAGCTGGGACGAGTGGGTGAATAGGTACAGACTTAGCCTGATGGAAGAGGCTGACATGGGACAGATTTCACCCTACCAAAGCAGGACCTTAGATACTCTCTTGTTCCTTATATTGTTCACTGGCTCTGATTGTCCTTCCTCCAAAACCCAGGCTCCAGTCATTGCTGTCCTGGACTCTGGTGGGGGCCTGCGGGCCCACATTGCTTGTCTTGAGTTGAAAGAACTTGGCCTGTTGGATGCTGTCACATACCTCGCAGGGGTTTCTGGGCCTGCTTGGTAAGTGTTGTGTTTGGATGGGAGGGTGCACCATGTTTCTATTATCAGAATGAGATCATCTTCCTATAGACACCAAGTGCATGCTGTCGTTTTTATTCCCTTTCTTAAATGGACAGAGGATAATTATTTATTTCATGCTGTATGCTATGATATTTTGGTATATAGATTTGTTGTATGCTGATCAGTTGTATTTTCACTTTTCTTGGTGTAACAAAACACCTGACAAAAAGCAACTTAAAGAAGGAAAGGTTTACTTTGGTTCTTAGCTTGAGAGCATTGTCTGTATGGCAGGAAGGGCACTTTGTGAAGAAGAGGGAGGTATGCTGGTGCTCAGCGCAGCTTCTTTTTATTCAGTCTGGGCCCAGCCTGGGGAATGGTATGATCACATTCAGGGTATATCTTCTCATCTGATTTGAATGTATCTGTAAACACCTTCACAGACACACCCAGAGATTTATCATTGCATGTGAGGGTGTTGGGTTATGTGGGCTGTTCATGCTTGTGTGGAGGCATGTAGTACCCAGAGCAAGGCAGACATCAATTGTCTTCCTCTGTTGCTCTCTACCTTATTGCCGTGAGACATGGGCCTCTTACTGAGCCTAAAGCTCACAATTTTGGTGAGGTTAACTGTTGGATCCACTTCTCTCTGTACTCCAGTGCTGGAGGTGCAGGCATAGTCATCCATGTCTATTTTTCACAACAGTGTTGGGGGTTCAAACTTATGTCCCCATACTTGCATAGCAAGCACTCAGTCATTTTCCAGGCCCAGCTTCTGTTTTAAATAGTATAACAGAAGGGGCTGTGTTATATTTCTATAATGCATATTTTATATATGTTTATATAAATATATATGTATATATTTTATATACCATGTAACCAGCTGCCTCATGTTCCTCCTGCCATGCCTTCCCTACCATAATGGATCATACCCCCTCAAATTGAGCCAAATAAACATATATTTATATATAATACATGTTATACATTATTATTTATTAATAATTTCTAAAAACATCTTAAATATTAGTATAATTATTTATAATAATATATTGAGCCAAATAAACATATATTTATATATAATATATTATATTATACATAATTGACCCGACCCGCAGGCTAGTTGAACAGGGTTCACCTGGAAGAGGGAATGGGAATTGATAGGGACAGAGATGCAAAGAATGGAGGCCAAGGCAGGTTTCTGATCAAGGCCCCATAAAGCAAAGAATCACAAGCAATTTTCTCACGGTAATAGCTCATCTTGGCAAAGCGTCCGAGGATTCACTCAAGGTTACACAAAATTTACTGTCTGGTTCCCAGGGTTGCACAGAGTTTATTATCTAGTTCTTAGGGACAGAACATCCCGCTGGAAAAGTTGCCAAGGTCAGCCTTCCAGAAGTTGCCAAGGTCAGTCTCTGAGAAACTGAACTTTGGATTAGACTCATGTCTGCTAAGGACAAGGGGCAAAACTCCATTTACTAGATACCTTCACATAATTATTTATTAATTTATCAACATTTTATATATTAGTATATTTATAATAATATATTATTTCTTGATCATATCAACCTCTCTATTACTCTATCCCCTTCCAGTTTTCACCTCCTGTGTCTCATTTCTAGTATGTGGAAGTTCATGGGCAGTGTTTATACTTTATGTGGATGGAATACAACTCTTTAAGATCTTTTAATCTTTATGAGAGACTAATGTGAAAAATCTATGTAGGACTTTCTATTCCAAATTGCTCAGAAGCACTCTGAGTCCAGGGCACCTTTTCAGTAACAGATAAAGCTATACAAGCTTTTGAACTAACAGTGTGGAGAATGAATAGTAGGTGGAGGTAACAGATGACAGAAATGTAGCAGAGAGAGACATACCTGTTGGATTAGTTATTTTCTCATTGTTGTGGCAAATACTCAACAAAAGTAACTTCAGAAAGGAAGGGTTTATGTGGCTCAATTTGAGGGGGTAAGATCCATCCTGGGTGGGGAAGGTATAGCATCAGGAACATGAGGCAGCTGGTCACATATTTTCATTCCGGAATCGGAGAGAGGGAGGCTGGAGAAATGGCACTTATTTTACTGCCAGAGGACCTTAGTTCAGTCCCCAGCACTGATGTCAGGTGACTTCACCACCACTTGTGAGTCTCTTCAGGGGATCTGACACTTTCTGTTCTCTGCAGGCACCTGTACTCATGTACACATATCCACACACAGATATATGCATACATGGAATTTAAAATGGAAACAAAGCTAAAAAGAGAGAAGCATAGAGATGAATTCTGTGATCAGCTCACTTTATTCTTTTTATCCGAGGCAACAGCCCATGGATTGTTACCTCCCACATTCTAGGACAGCAGTTCTCAACCTTTTGGTTGCAACTACTTTGGCAAACCCTTATCTCTAAAACTATTTATATTATAATTCATAACAGTAGAAAAATTATAGCTATGAAGTAGCAAAGAAAATAATTTTATGGTTGGGGGAATCACCACAACATGAGGAACTGTATTAAAGGGTCACAGCATTGGGAAGGTTTAGAACCATTATTAGATGCATCTTCCCACCTCCTTAAAATGCTCTTATAGGCATTCCCAGAGATGTGTCTCCTCGGTGATTCTAAATCATGTCAAGCTGACGGTCAAGATTACCATCATGAAGGCTGGAAAGATAACTTTAAGAGATTGTTCCCCAGAATCCATATTTTAAATAGCTGGGCTTTGTGTCACCTGCTTGTGATCTCAACATTGGAGAGGTAGAGATAGGTGGATCCCTGGAGTTCACTAGTCAATTAACCTGGTCTGATAATCGGTGAGCTCCAGGCTGGTGAGAGACCATGTTTCTAAAAACAAGGTGGATGGCTTCTGAAGAATGACACCTAATATTGCCATATGGCCTCCACATACAGGAACACATATGTACATGTGCACACTACTTCACCCATGCATGCACATGAAAACGCACACATACACACTTACAATTATGTCTATTATCATCCCTGTGTTACCTGGAGTTAAGTCATGCTTCTTTGCTACACCCACTCCAGTGTTGCCAGTGTAGCATATCAATAGATTGTGCTACAGGGCGGGAGATATGCTTTCTTCAGAAATTCACTCCTGGAGGTCAATGGCAGGTCCCCCCGACCACCTAAGTTAAAAAGACGTATTCTAGGGTCTCTACGCTTTTTCGGTCACAGTTGTGGGGCTGGATTAATGAGTTTTTTTGATCTTTCTCTATGATTCCTGAAATAGCACAATTAACTATTAAAGGAAACATATTCTTGATAGATTACTAAAGGCTTTAACAAGAATAGAATGGAAGAAAAGTAATTTTAAGAGAAGTAATGAATTAGATTTAGTATTAAAAGCATTATAAGAATAGTGAAAAAATAATGGGCTCCTTCTTAGGAAAAAATACCATGAGAAGTACAGCTGGCTTGAGCTTGCCCCCTTTATCGTCTTGTTTCTAGGGAAGATAGTAAATCTTTAGCAAGACATATGGGAGGATGGTTAACGAAGGTGTATTTAGATTTTGATACAGAGAAAGATTTTGGCAGGCATCTGATTTAGTTCCTGACTTTCCTCTTCTTTGGTTAGCAATAATGAAACTGCAGTTTGAGGTTTCTTTTCCTTTGTTTGCTTTGATCAAAAAGTTCTCAGGCCAAGATTTCTTGTGGGTACTGCTTTATGTTTGGCTACATTTTTGAGTTAAAATGTAAACTTTGTATTCTTGGTAAAAATCTAAGTGTTCTGGGAAGTATGCCAACTTTAAGGTTTTTCCCTATGTATAAAATTATTAGCCTGACTTCAGTAAAATCGCAGCAGTAGAATCACTCTCCTGTGTGGTCTCTGACTGTCATTCGCCAGAGACTTTGCCTTCCCGATATCCAGACCTCTGATTTTGCCGTGGACACAGGGAGCCTGACTGAGCTGGTCTGTGACATTTCTTGTGTCTCAACTCCAGGGGATGCTATTGAAATAGAAATTACAGACCTTCTCAAAGCTTAAGTAAGAGGTTGCTGCCTATGCAATCCAACCGCATTGGCACAATTCCTACAGTGAGTCATTTAGGGCTGGTATAAGCCCAGCTGTCACATCTATGTGCTTCTGTCTCCTGGGCTGTTAGGAGGATTATATATAGTTCTAATCTTACAGGGTTTCTGTGGAAAGCATCCAGATGGAGCTATCTAATAGGAATATAACTTGAGTCAAGTCTGTCCCTTCTGATTTTCTAAAAGCCCCATTGAAAAAGTAAAAAGATATGATACAATGGCATTGTTGTAATGGTGTATTTTTTTTCTTTCTTTCTTTCTTTCTTTCTTTCTTTCTTTCTTTCTTTCTTTCTTTCTTTCTTTCTTTCTTTCTTTCTTTCTTTCTCCTTCCTTCCTTCCTTCCTTCCTTCCTTCCTTCCTTCCTTTCTTTCTTTCTTTCTCTCTTCCTTTCTTTCTCTCTCTTTTCCTTTCTTTCTCTTTTCCTCCCCCTCCCTCCTTTCCTCCCTCCTTCCCTCCTTCATTCCTTCCCTCCTTTTTTTTTTTTTTTTTTTTCTTTTTGAGACAGGGTTTCTCTGTGTAACAGAGCCCTGACTGTCCTGGACTCACTTTGTAGAACAGGCTGACAGCGAACTCACAAAGAAAGATCCACCCCCCTCTGCCTCCCAAGTGCTGGAGTAAAGGCATGCGCCACCACACCTGGCCTGCAAGGTATTTTTTAATAATAGTTTTTTAGTCATTTGAAAATTATATATGTGTGTATGTGTTTACATAGTGTATGTTAATCATATATGTTCCCCACTCTCCCTAGGCTTCCCCAACACAGTTCCCTCCCAACTTTATGTTCCTTTTGTAAAAATTATAACTCAGTCCAATTAGTAATCCCATATGCCCATGAGTAAGGGATCATTCTCTGGGCTATAGGTGACTTACCAGTGGCCATACCCAAAAGAAAAATAGCTCCAGGTATCTGACGTTAGTATTTCATCATGTAATATATATGTCATTCTTCATATTTTTGACATTTCTTTTGTTAGACCATTTTTTGAAAGCTGATACACCATTTATTTTAAATATTTTTTGTTATGTTTATTTATTGAGCATGTTGTATAGGTACATGTGCATTTGTGTGTCACTGCACACTTGTGGAGGTCAGAGAAGAGCTGTGGGTACTCTCTTTATACCATGAGGTATCTAGTGATTAAACTCAGGTGATCAGTCATGGTAGCAAATACCTTTACCCACAAACCATCTCAAGCCACCCTGCTTTACCTGATGCATATTTTATGCCTACAGCACATTCCTGTTTTGATTGCTGTTTTGAGTCTCATTGTGTGTTAATGAGTATGTGCAGGTGGAAAAGGAGCTGTCAGCACCAAGCTTATTCCTCATGTGTTTCAGCTTTCCAGTAATGGAATGGAGTGGCAGTGTTTAAATTCAAGTTAAAATTAAATTAAATGGAGAACCAATTTCTAATTACATTAATCCTATGTTATATTAATTGTTTTTTTCATTGTTGTGCTAAAACTACTTTACAAATGGGGCTAGAGATGTGACTAAGTGGTTAAGAGCACTTGCTGCTCAGTCATGAGGACTGGAGTTTGGATCTCAGTATCCATTTCAGGAAGTTCACAATACCCTAACTAGCTCCGAAGGATCTGACACTCTTTCCTGGCTTTGTGGGCACCCTCACACATGTGTGCATTGCAGATGCAGTAACATGCATGCATGCACACACATACCCACACACACACCCACACACATCCACACAAACACTTGAAGCTTGAAGTGAAGGTTCATTCATACATACATATATCTGCAGATATATGCATACACATAGATACAAATTTTAAAAATTCTTAAAAAATACTGACGAAACTAGCAATATTAACTTTCTTTATAGGAACTAGTAAGGAGTTCCACTTCGAACACCTCTCCAAATTTATGCATGTTCTCTGTTTGTATATCTGAGATCAGATAAAAGAACTAGAAGGTGTGAAGATGGTAGGTTATTTGAAAACAAATCCAGTTCTCTTTCAATGCCTGTGTGATTCACTGAGGAATATGCTTAGCCTCTTTGTGCCTCTCTAAACTGAGAATGGATCTGTTGTTCCTTTTGATGGCTGATTATGAAGATGATTGTGCTAGTTCATTTCTTTGGCAATGCAGCACAAACCAGAGTCACCTGGGAGAGGGCACCTCCGCTGAGGAATTGCCTCTATGAGATTGATATGTAGACAAGTCTGTGAGGGCATTTTCTTGATTAATGTTTGATGTATGAGGACCCAGCCTACTGCCGGCAGTGCCTCCCCTAGGCTGATGATCCTGGATTGTATAAGAAAGTAGACTGAGCAAGCCATGGAGAACAAGCATTCCTTCATGGACTCTTCATCAGATCCTGCCCTGCCAGAGTTCCTGCTTTGAATTCCCTCAGTGATGGGCTATAGTTTGGCTAAATAAACCATTTCCTCTGAAAATTGGTTTTGGTTAGCATTTTATTACTTTAATAGAAACCAAACTAGAAAAGTGATGTAACAGTCACATACTTGATAGATGTTCATCTGAAAAACAAAACAAAACAAAACAAAACAAACAAAAACCCTAGCTGCCTGTGTGTCATGTGTAGGATTGGGATTCAGTCCCAGGTCCGGGACTCAAGGAGACATTGAGATGGACTGTGGGGTTAGAACTTTATCAGAAGTTACTATATTAGTTACTTTTCTGTTGCTGTGATAAAATATTATGACCAAAGTTACTTATAGAAGAGATCCTGGTCTTTGGAAATATGTTAACTGGGTCTTTACAGACTGTGCTCTTAGTAGGTGCCTGACTGTGTCTGTGAGATGGGAGGGGCATCTTGTTTGGATTCTAATGTTAAATTAAAATCTGTTTCTTCCATCTTGTTCTCATTGTCATGTCTGTTAAACGAAGAGTCACACGGAGGCTGCCTGAGTCTTCCATGTATTCAAGTCTTTGTTTACCATAGCAGCTTCCTTTATGACAGTTAGTCAGGTCTGCCATCCTTCTCGGAGAGAGGTAGTCAGAATTAATGACAGCCTGGGTCATTCTCTCTCTAGCCTTCTGGGTCACTATTGCTATCCTCAGATTATCCTGTCTCTTTGCCCCCAGGGCAGTGTCTTCATTCTACACCAACAATGGAAATATGGAAGGGATGGAAGAGCAGCTGAAACATTGATATGAGAGGAATAGGTGGCACTTTAAAGAGAGTCTGGAGAAAGCCATCCAGGCAGCAAGGAGGGCAAATTACTCCCTGACTGACCTTTGGGCCTATTTGATTGTTTCCAGGCAAACCAGAGAAATAAGTCATTGCCAGCAGAGGATGAAGGGTCTCAAATAGCTTGACCAATATCCTCTTTCAGTTCTTCTGAATCTGGGCACTTAGAGTTTTTACTTCAAGACAAAAAAAAAAAAAAAATCCCAGGGTTGATTTGTTTTAAGTGGAAGAATCAGACTCATGACTTATTTATTCAGTAAAATAAATAGAAATTAGTAAAAAAAAACATCTAGAAGTATTCAAAGATGAGGCTTCAAGGCACCTATTCTTCCCATCTATTATGATCATTTATTTTCTTAAATTTACTTTTCTCTGTCTTTCTACTCATATTTTATTCTTTACTTCAGAAAGAATGCAGTTTTCTGCATCTCCATGTTCTGTAATTTTTCACTGTGGTCACCTTTAAACCCTCTAACCAGCTGGCTGTAGGGTCCAACTTTAGGTTGTCTGAGCACCTCACTTGGTCAGCTCAATTCAGAGCAGATAGCATTCAAATATCTGTGAGTGCCAGGGTGAACTCATCATGGGTGCATTTCTTGTAGGAAAGGCAGGATGGCAGTGGGAAATCAGCTCCAAATGATTTCTTTCTCTAGTGGATTTCTGGTTTTTGTGGTTTGATTGGGTTGAACATTTTCCCATTTGTAGAAATGAAAGGGACAGATACAGTTTGAACTGTGAGACAGGGATAAAAAGGAAGAAAAAAAAGAGGTTTCTAATGATGCTGTTAGAATTTCTACAAGACTGTGGGTCTTAGGGGAACATATGTTATTTAGAAATGTCAAAGTGTACCAGGTACCCACGGTATATTTGTTTTCTTATACTCCCTTCCCTTCCTCTCCCTCCTTTCACCTTTGTCACTATCCTTTCTGTCACTCCTACTCTTCTCCCTTAAAATTATTTTTATTTTATTTGTATATGAGTGTTTTGCTCACATGAATTTATGTGCACTATATTCATGCAGTGCCCCAGTGAAGCCAGAGGAGGGCACTGTATCCTTTAGAACTGGATTTGCAGATGGTTGTGAGCTGCCTCCTGGGTGCTGGAAACTGAATCCTGGTTTTCTGAAAGTGCTCTTAATCTCTGAGATATCTTTTCAACCCTCTCTCTGTCCTCTCTCTTTCCCATACTTTGATCCTTCTCTCACAGTTTAACTTACTGTTTTTTTTAAGCTTTTGTTGAAGTATAACTGATATGTATACAATTGAACATACAAATATATTTTAAACACATCTTGATGAGTTTGGGCATGCACTTTCCTGTGAACTAGCTCATTATCAAAGTACTAAGCATATTCAGCAGACATTTCTGGTACTCCCTCTTGTGGTTTTTTGATTGTGTGAAGTGGATGGTAAGAATACTTTGCATGACATCTATCTCCTTCAGTTATGCTAAGTTAAGCCAGTCACATGATTCTACTTCTCTGAGACATCTAAGATAATAAACACAGAAACAAAGAACAGAAATGTGGTGGTCAGTGCTTTGAAAGGCAAATGAGAACTGTTGCTCAAATGGGATAAAATTTTCTCAGATGAATAGGGACACAATCTCTCTGTTTACTCTCATGCTGTGAGACTGTTCCTCTGCACTGGTCTCTTTGACTCTTACTCACTGGTATCCTTTGAGGCCACCTTACCTTACTCTATAGATGAGCTCCGTCTATTCTGTCTGTTCTTACTGAAAAGTAGGAACAAGGGGCTGTCATGATAGCTCAGTGAAAAAAAGGCACTGCAGTCAAGCCTGAAGACCTGAATTTGATCCCTGGAACTGACATGATAGATGGATAACCCACTCCCGCAAGTTGTCCTTTAACGTCTACACATGTGGGAATGGGTTTCATAGATGAAGAAGAGAGAATATTCCAGAATTAGGTGCACAGTGTATAAAGATCCCATCCAGTTTTGGAAGACTAAATCATACCCTTGTGCTTCTATCCCATTCAATCTGGTACTTTCCCTCCACAGCTTCAGGATTCTAATTTTTTCTAGCATAAAGGAACAAGTGGAAGAAGGAGTTCTGCCCTATCTTATCTTTGCAACCATTGATGATGACCTTCAGTCTGACTGGAGGAAGAGAAAAACTTAGAATAAGCAAAAATTTGGAGGGGAGAGGAGATAGCAAGGGAATGAAAGACAGTGAACAGGCTCAGTGGCAGAGTCTTTGCCTTGAATGAATGAGGCCCTTGGTTACATCCTCCCAGAAAGGCTTTGAGTGGATTGTGTGGATATTCCTTCCTTCTTCCCCCCTCCCCAATCTGCAACTTGGAAAGCCCAGGAGCAAAGGACTCATGGAAAAGAGGCTGTCAGGATAGGATGCTCAGCTTGCACAAGAGCAAACAGAAATCACAGAAACCATCAGAGGGCCTACACTTGCTCTGAGTGATGAAGGAAGTTGTGATGAGGGCTAGGTAAGGGACGCAGGTTGGAGATACACTGGCATGACTCTTTACTACTTAATTGTCATCTTCTTCACGGATTATCCCAGTGCTGGTAGCTTTCCTGATGTTCCATTTGTCTTTTGATCCACAGTCTTTGCCTTGGGATCAAGACCTCCTCACGCAATTTACTAAATATAAAATGCATATATTTGTTTGATGAGTATGCCCCTGTTGTTCAATATCAATCAGGCAGTGTTCCAGGTGCTCACTCATTGTATCATCCTAAAGCTCAGAAGTTCCCATGGCTAATGCTCAATTTCTCTCCTCCCAGTATGGGTCCTTGATCTAGTTTCTTTTCTGTTGCTGTCATAAATACTGTAACAGAAAGCAACTTAGGGAAGAAAGGATTTATTTGGCTTACAATTCCAAGTTATGGCCCATTATTGCAGGGAAACCCCAAGGAATGGATGCTACAATCACCTGAATTTAAATTTTTATTTATTTTGCTGGGCATGATGGTGCATACCTTTAATCTCAGCATTTGGGAGGCAGAGGCAGGAGTTCTCTGAGAGTTTGAGGCCAACCTTGTCTACATAGAGAGTTCCAGGACAACTAGAACTACATAGAGACAGCCCAACTCAAAAAAGTCATTTACTTTATGTGTATGGATGTTTTGTCTGCATGTATGTCTGTGTACCACATGTGTGCCTGGTGGCAGCAGAGACTAGAAGCGGGCATCAGATTTCCTGGAACTGGAGTTATACATGGTTGTGAACTGCCATGTGGGTGCTGGGAATTGAACCTGGCATCTAGAGGGGATGCCAGAGCTCTTTAAAACTGAACCATCTCTCTAGTCTCCAACATGAGCTTTTTTTGAGAGCCACGGAGTCATAAGAATGCTGAGTTACTTCCCTATTCTTACTGTCCAGTGAGCACTGATGTAGGAATGGGTGGCAGTTTGTGCCTGGAGCCACATCACAGCTCTGATCAGTATGATAATATACTTCGACTAACCAAATGGAGACAGCAGTATCCCCAGCTTCATGTGTTAGAGATGAGTTTTAAATGATTTAATGTGTATAAGTTTCTTAGAGCAGAGCCTGTCTCACTAATATATAATAACAGTAATGTAACCAGACCTAATGAGTCTGCATCTTGGTTAACATGAAGCCAAAACCCATAGCCAAGAGGTAAAACAACAGAAGAAAGAGGCATTACCCATTACCTGTGTGGGTAAGGAGAGTCAGGCATTGACTCCAAAGTGATGCCCTCTTCAAACAAAGTGTGAGGGCTTATTTTGGGAGGTTGTATTTATTTGGGAAAGCATTTCAGAAGGGAACACATTCCTGGGCATATGTAATTTAAGATGTAGAGCTGTAGTGGTGACTTCATGGTTAAAGCGTTTACCATGCAAGTGTAAGGACCAGAGACTGGATTTCCAGATCTCATGCAAATACCAAGTGGGCATGGTAGTCTCTTTGTAAATCCATCCTTAGATTGTAGAGATAAGGGATCCTTAGAGCAAACTAGCAACTAATATAGCTGTATTGGCTAGCTCTGAGTTTGAGAGAACCTGCCTTAATGAATAATGTAGAAAGCAATAGAGGATGATTCCCAGCATAAATCTCGAGCCTCTACATACAACATAGATACGTATACACGTTATGTGCACCTGTACACACATATGTTCCCCTCATGTGGCAAACACCAATACCACACCCATAAAATGGAAAAATGAAAAAAATAAGTAAACTGTATGCTTTTGAGCATGCTCAGTTTAAGGTTAATGTTCAAGAGGAAGGATGGAAGTTGGAAATACATGTGTTAATGGACATATCTTTCTTTAAGTTGGCAACATTTTCTTCTATGATTTTATTGAAAATATTTTCTATGCCTTGGAGCCTGTTATCTTCTCTTTCGTCTATTCCCATTATTCTAGGTTTTGTCTTTTCATGGTGTCCTTGATTTCTTGGATGTTTTGTGTCAGGACCTTTTCTAATTTTATGTCTTTTTTGAGAGATGTATTGTTTCTTCAATTGTGTCTTCAGCGCCTGAAATTCTCTCCTCCATATCTTGAATTCTGTTGGTGATGCTTTTCTCTGTGGTTTCTGATCTCTTTGCTAGGTTTTCCATCTCCAGGAGTTTCTCAGTGTGTGTTTTCTTTGTTGATTCTAATTCCGTTTTCGTGTATTGCACCATTTCCTTCATCTGTATTTGGATTCCTGTCTGTCCATGATGACCTCTATTTTTTTTTTTAGTTTGTTTGTTTCCTCTTTTTTTTAAAATTTTTTTTATTAATTACACTTTATTCATTTTGTACCCCCCATAAGCCCCTCCCTCCTCTCCTCCCGATCCCACCCTCCCTCCCCTTTCTGCATGCATGCCACTCCCCAAGTCCACTGATAGGGGAGGTTCTCCTCTTCTTTCTGATCTTAGTCTATCAGTTCTCATCAAAAGTGGCTGCATTATCCTCTACTGTGGCCTGATAAGGCTGCTCCCCCCTCAGGGGGAAGTGATCAACGAGCAGGCCAATCAGATTATGTCAGAGGCAGTCCTTTTCCCATTACTATGTAACCCACTTGGACACTGAACTGCCATGGGCTACACCTGTGCAGGGGTTCCAGGTCATCTCCACGAATAGTTCTTGGTTGGAGTATGAGTCTCTGGGAAGTTCCCTGTGTTCAAATTATCTTGTTCTGTTCCTCTCCTTGTGGAGTTCCTGTCCCCTCCAGCTCTTACTATTTCCCACTTCTTACATAGAATTCCATTCATTCTGCCCATCAGTTGGCCATCAGGCTCAGCATCTGCTTTGACAGTCTATACTGCAGAAGCTTTCAGAGTCCCTCTGTGGCAGGTTTCAAGGTTGTTTTCTGTTTTCTTCTGGCTTTCAGAGGCCCTCTATAGCAGGTTCCGAGGTTGTTTCCTATTTTCTTTTTCTTCTGATGTCCATCCTCTTTGCCTTTCAGGATGGGGATTGAACATTTTAGTTAGGGTCCTCTCTTTTGCTTAGTTTGTTTAGATGTACAGATTTTAGTGGGTTTATTCTACATTGTATGTTTATATGAGTGAGTATATACCATGCGTGTCTTTTTGCTTCTGGGTCAACTCACTCAGGATGATCCTTTCCAGGTCCCACCATTTACCTGCAAATTTCATGATTTCCTTATTTTTCATTGCTGAGTAATACTCCATTGTATAGATGTACCACAGTTTCTGCATCCATTCTTCAGTTGAGGGGCATCTGGGTTGTTTCCAGCTTCTGGCTATTACAAATAAAGCTGCTACAAACATGGTTGAGCAAATGTCCTTTTTGTGTACTTGCGCCTCTTTTGGGTATATGCCTAGGAATGGTATGGCTGGTTCTTGAGGAAGCGCTATTCCTAGTGGTCTGAGAAAGCGCCAGATTGATTTCCAGAGTAGTTGTACAAGTTTACATTCCCACCAGCAGTGGAGAAGGGTTCCCCTTTCTCCACAACCTCTCCAGCATGTGTTGTCCCTTGAGATTTTCATCTTGGCCATTCTGATGGGTGTAAGGTGAAATCTCAGGGTTGTTTTGATTTGCATTTCCCTAATGGCTAATGAGGTTGAGCATTTCTTTAAGTGCTTCTCTGCCATTCGATATTCCTCTACAGAGAATTCTCTCTTTAGCTCTGTTCCCCATTTTTTAAGTGGATTACTTGGTTTATTGCTTTTCAGCTTGTTTAGTTCTTTATATATATTGGATATGAGTCCTCTGTCAGATAAAGGGTTGGTGATGATTCTTTCCCAATCTGTAGGCAGTCACTTTGTTTTGATGACGGTGTCCTTTGCTTTACAGAAGCTTTTCAATTTCATGAGGTCCCATTTATTGATTGTTGCTCTTAGAGCCTGTGCTGTTAGTGTTCTGTTCAGGAAGTTTTCTCCTGTACCAATGAGTTCTAGGGTATTCCCCACTTTTTTTTCTAGCCGATTTAATGTGTCTGGTTTTATGTTGAGGTCTTTGATCCACTTGGACTTCAGTTTTGTGCAGGGTGATAAGTATGGATCTATTTGCATTTTTCTACATGTAGACATCCAGTTGGACCAGCACCATTTGTTGAAGATGCTATCTTTTTTCCATTGTATTATTTTGGCATCTTTGTCAAAAATCAGGTGTCCGTAAGTGTGTGGGTTTATTTCTGGGTCTTCTGTTCGATTCCATTGATCCACCATTCTGTTTCTATGCCAGTACCATGCAGTTTTTATAACTGTTGCTCTATAGTACAGCTTGAGATCAGGGATGGAGATACCTCCAGAAGATCTTTTATTGTAGAGGATTGTTTTAGCAATTCTCGGTTTCTTGTTATTCCATACGAAGTTGAGAATTTTTCTTTCCAGGTCTGTAAAGAATTGTGTTGGCAATTTGATGGGAATTGCATTAAATCTGTAGATTGCTTTTGGTAAGATGGCCATTTTTACTATGTTAATCCTGCCAAGCCATGAGCATGGGAGATCTTTCCATCTTCTCATATCTTCCTCTAATTCTTTCTTCAGAGACTTGAAATTTTTTTCATACAAGTCTTTGACTTGCTTGGTTAGGGTTACGCCAAGGTACTTTATGTCATTTGTGGCTATTGTGAATGGTGTTGTTTCTCTAATTTCTTTCTCAGCCCTTTTGTCTTTTGTATACAGGAGTGCTACTGATTTTTTTGAGTTAATTTTGTATCCGGCCACTTTGCTGA